GTGGGTAAGGCACATGCCTTGCACATGCCTTCAATCCCTGGAATCCCAGGTGGTCCCCCAAACCTTGCTCAGAGTAATCCCTGAGCACTAGGCCAGGAGTAAGCCCTGAGCATCAGTGGGTGTGACCCCAAAAACAAAACAAAAAAATTATTTGCTTATGCACTACGGGTGTGACTGGTAGTATGCCACCACCTTACCACCTTATACACGAGGCCCAGAGTTTAATCCCTGACACAACTATAATTTCTGGTGCACTGCAATCAAATATTCAATCCTTATGGAGCACTCAATGTATGACCTCTGGATACTGAACAACAAAAGGGGGGAAAAATTAAAATTTGCTGGAAGCTATTCCTTCTGAATCTGTTCATTCTTCTCCCTTGCCATCAATTCATTTAATTTGGGGGGGGGGGGGGGGAGAAGGGCTGGCCATACTCTGTAGTGCTAAGGTGTCTCTCCTAGTGGTGCCTGATAGAAGATGAAATATCACAAGAAAAGACTGTGGTTACCAGTTTTTTTTTTTTTTAAGAGGGGGAACAGGTGGGTGGATTGGGAGAATTCATTATTCTGCACACTTTAAACCTCAGTTATTATGAGACAGGCTAAGGACTAAGTTTGGGATGCCATCCTCTGAAATAATCACGAAGTCCACTGCTTTACCACTTCAAAAGAAAAAAAGGAAAGCTGCTCAACTCTTTAAGGAGTTTATTTCAGGGAATATGGATGGAAGGTGTTTAATTCAAAACTAATGCACCAAACTGAACCAGCCCATACTAAGATGGACTCCAATGCTAGACCCTATCACTGACCTTTCCCTCATCTAATACAAAAAATCATTCCCTGGGCAAAATTTCCTATACTGAGACATGGGTCACCTGAAGAATCATGTTCTATTCACTGAGCCTTTGCACTAGGCTCCCTGTTTCTTGCAATCCCCACAAGCTTAGACATCACTCTATTTCCATCTCTGCCCTTAAAAACTTTCCTAGGTTGGTTTCCAGGGAACCAACACCTGTTCAGTTGCACATAAACTCACAGACAATAAACTCGACCTAAGTTTCTCCTTGGCCTTGTATCCATTTTCATTTACACTGAAGATTCTTAGGGCCTTTATCAACAAGGTAAAATCTCCTATTCTCTTCATAGTATGCTACAAATAATTAAATGATGGTGGGTGGTCCCCAAGTAGTGTGCATAGGGCCCAGAGCCAAAGCAGCAATATTTGGCACAGTTGGCTGAAAGTCTAGCACTAGGGCCCAAGGATGTGGTACTGCTTAGGCACTGTGGTGCCAGACACTGTCAGGGCCATACCTGGCGGGATCTGGGGCCTCCAAGGCTGCACTCAACAAGATCAGGAAGCCAAGTGGTAACAGAAAATGGATTCAGGCCCATGCAAGGCATGGGACCCTAACCTTAGTATCAACCACCAGTTCCCACTAATAAATTTTTCAATAATTACTTTAGTATGTTTTTCCTGAGAACAACAAGCTTCATAATGAAGGGAAGACGCTGCGTTATGTTCTGCTCACTGCCACAAACTGCAGCAGCACAGGGTACAACATTTGTGACATACAAGATCTTTGTTGTTAGAAAAATATAATCGTGGGGGCCAAAGTGATTAATACAAAAGGTGGGCATTCTCTTTTGCAAACCACAACACCCAAGAGGAGAGAGAGTACAGAGGGGAATGCCTTGCCACAGAGGCAGGGTGGGATGGGGGGTGGGAGGGATACTGGGATCCATGGTGGTGGGAAATGGGCACTGGTGGAGAGATGGGTATTTGATCATTGTATAATTGAAACCCAATAAGTCTACAACTGTACCTCATGGTGTCTCACTAATACATTTTTTTTTAAAAGGTGGGCATTTCCCATGCACATGGCCAACCCAGGTTGGTTCCTTGACATCCCATATGGTCCCCAGAACCCACCAGGAGTGGAGCTGGGAGTAAGCACTGTCCATCCCTCCCCCAATAGAATACAATACTGGTAAGACATACAAGAAACTTTTGCATACATCCTCAGTCAAACGCCAGGAAACACTATAGCTCTCAAATCACAGAGCAGAGACCAATTCCTCACACAGGCTCTAATTACTTATGAGGAAACAGTGGTGACAAAAAGAACTGAAACAGGGAACCTCTCTGCAGTCCTATTACCTGTATCTTCTTTCCAATGTACAGAGATAAATGGGGGGGGAGGGGAAAAATGACCAAAAAATAAAACTTCGGCGGCTGGAGCAATAGCACAGCGGGTAGGGCATTTGCCTTGCACGAGGCTGACCCGGGTTCGATTTCTAGCATTCCACATGGTCCCCTGAGCACCCAGGGGTAATTCCTGAGTACAGTGCCAGGAGTAACCTCTGTGCATCACGAGTGTGACCCCTGCCCCTCCCAATAAAGAAAAAAAAAAACCTTCTTATCACCTTCTAAAAGGAGATTATTGGACAGAGATCTGCTGTATCTGCCAGCATAGAAAATGGAGATTTGGAAAGCTGCTTACCACTGAGCAATGAAATACATTTTAACAATTCAGCATTACTGGGAATAAAACCTTGGAAATACGAAAGGAATAATCAAAATGTACTGTTACAAGAACAGTTACATAGACTACATAGTATTAAGGGAAATAAATGATAGTGAATGAGCGCGTTTTCATATTCTCATTTTATAACATGAAGAAAATGCAGAAAAAGAGAACTCAGCAGAGAGGCAAACCTTTAAGAGATATGTGCACGTATTCACTAACATGTACTGTCAAGCATGTATTACCAGTCAAGGGAAGTACAGTCAGGTAGTAATCGAAGTAGGGAAAGATGCCTGACATCATTACACAAAGACAGGAAAAAACAACTGTAGCACCACTACCTATGAGGTAAAATTGTGGTTAAAATGTTAGAAATGGGTGTGCGCATGGGGGGCAGGAGAACTAGCAGTGTAGAATAGCTGGCCATAAGGTGAAAAACAGGCCTGCACGGGATCTGTCTTGGGTAACAGAAAAAAGTTACAAGCCCTAGTCTTTGATTTATTACTGTTAACTGATTTCTCCCTCTATACTGACCTTCCTAAAATAATTTAAAAACTCCTCTTTGTATGTGTATGAACCTTTCTTTCTTTATATTTACACTGTCATATAAATTTACCAGTATTAGAAGACTCAAACTGCTGCACTATTAACTGTTGGCTGAATGAGGGTAGCAAATCAGGTATAATGCCCTCAAATTATCTCTACCTTTTTCTAAAGGGGGTTCAGACCCGCTAAAAAGTGCAAAGTTCTCTCCAGAGCCCAGTCCCTAGCAACCGTGGCCTAATCCCAGAGGTTATCTTCCCTTCTAATATGACCTTTCTGACTCAGCTGTTGTAGTTTTGAGCTTTATTAGTTCCTGAAGTAGCTCTCTGAGGTTCTCAGAGGCCCATGTTATAGAACCACTGCCTCCCTTGTGCAAAACAGGCTGAAGCAGGCACAGGAGCCCTTTGAGCTCTCTGGCTTAAGTTTTGACTTAAATAAGAGGTGGAGAGTGGCTTGGTGGAAGCACAGCAGTTCCATTGTACACCAAAGGCATAAACAATAACAATTTTTAAAATGTTTTAGGGGAGAGATCTTGCAGCAGTTAAGGTGCACATGACATAAGTCAACCCACAGTCGATGTCCGGCACTCCTCATATCATCCAGGGCCCACGCAGGAGTGACCCCGGAGCACCCCCAAGTATGGTCTCCTACTCACAAAAGAAAATCCATTTTAGGATCTGCACCATTTCATTATTGCCAGCGTCAGGAATTTGAACCCAGAGATGCACACACGCCAAAGCTCTCCGACTGAACCACATTCCTGGCCCAGAATTTCCAAGTTTTAAACACCAAACGCCGGTTCATTGCACTTCAAACTGGGTTTTCAAGGGGGAGGAAATAAGTGCCTGGGGCTTGACCTCCCAAACTCCACGCCAGCTGGGCCCCCTGCTTTCCATTTATTGAGGTTCTGAGTAAGAATTCATTGGGACGCGTTGTTCCACGCCTTTTAGTCCATGCTTACTACAAGGGTTATTCCAAATCACTTACATTGGGTATGTCTTTCGTTGTGTTTTGTTTTAGGGTCACACCTGGCGGTGCTCCGGGATCACTCCTGGAGGGCTGGGGAGGGGGCACGGGGGTGTATATGAGCTGCTGAGGATCAAACTTGGGGGAGGGGGACACGTACAAGGCAAGCACCTTTCCCACCGTACTATGGCTCAGGCCCATTGCTATATATTTCTTTAAACTTCTTGCTAATAATGGGCAAAAGTAAAATTTGAATCCCGTCCCCCACCCCCTCCTGCCTTCGGCCATTTTACAGGCCCTAAGAACTGTGTGTCTTCCGATTTATCAATCGGATCCAGGCCTCCCAGATTGCCTTGCCTCTGGGCCTCCGGGGTCGGGGCAGAACCGGCAAGCGTCAATTTCCAGGCGTCCAGGGGTCCGGGGGAGGCCGTGGCTGCAAGCTGCCCGCCCGCCCGCCCGCCCGCCCGCGACCCCGGGCACGTGTCCGGGCGGAGGGCAGCGAGCTGACAGGTGAGGGGGGGCCCGGCGGGCGCTCCTGCAGGCGGCGCGGAGCCCCACGGGCACAACGGGCACGTTTCCTAACGGGAGAGCGGCGGGGTGGGGGTGGGGGACCGCGTTCCCGGGAGGGGCCTCCACGTCCTCCACCCACCCCGGGCCGTCTCCCACGGCCGAGGCCTGGCTCTCGGGGAAAGCGGGAGGGATGTGGGGGGTGGGGGGGAGGAGGGAGTTAGCGTTCCTACAGGAAGTCGACAGACACTCGGGGCTGGCCTCGGCCCCGCGGCGTGCGGGGAGCCCACGGCGGCCACAGGCTCGGGAAGCCGCGGTGGCGGCGGCGGCCGGGCGTGGGGGCGGAGGAAGCGCCAAGGGGGGCGGCGGGCTCGCGCCGCCACCGTGAGCCCCCGGGCCTGTCAGCTCCCGCCGCCCTCCCCCCCACGCCATCCCCCCCATTCTTCGGGCTCCACTTACCGGCGGGGGGCTGCGAGCCCGGCGAAGGAAGCCAGGAAGCGGGCCGCGTTCCGCTGCGCTCCTCTAGAGCCGCCGCCGGGAAGAGGCTGAGAGCCGGGAGCCGCCGCCGTCGCCACCGCCTCTGTGGCCGGGGGGTCTCGCCTCCATCGCTGGCAGCGAGAACGCTGAGGGGCACGTGACCGGAAGCGCCGGGGCGGGCCGGCGGAGGGAGGGGGCACCACGTGACCCCCGAGCGCGGCCGCCATGACACCTTCCGCCCGTTCCCTCCCTCCCTCCCTCGCCGCTTCCCGCCGGCTTCATTTTTTTTTATTTCTCTCGCCGACCTCAAGCCGCAAAGGGCTCCGGGATCGTGGCTGGCTCACCCCTGGGGCCTCCGAGCTTCTCCCGTGCCGCCCGGCGCTGCGTTAGTCTTGCCAACAGCGGCCCGCCGACTCCAGGCCACCGAGAGCGTAATTGCGACCGCGGCCTGAGGGGGAGGGACCCACGCGCGAGCAGGGGGCGTCACCTGTCACGTGACTCGGAAGTACCGTTTACCGGCGCTGTCCCGGCGTCCCCGGCGCTCGGGGATGACGTCAGCCGCCGGGTGCGGGGCGGGGATGGGGGGGGGCAGGAGGGAAGCCCGAAGCGCAGGTGCACTTCTCAGTTCCTCCCGGTGCGGGTTGGAGGCGCCGAGCTGCCGAGGGTGCTTGGACTCAGACAGCCTGGAAGTTTGGCGGGGCCTGAGACCTCCGGGCTCCTGCAGGTCGTCTGGGAGCCTGGCTTGGAAATCTTGCTCCCGGAGGCTCCTCCTGGCCTTGACAGGTCTGAAGGCAGTGTTCAAGTTGCTACGCTTCTAAGGGCTCCTCCAGGCAGTCTGAATGTTGAGTGCAGGAACGAGTGAGTCATTTCTGGCCGATGGGGGAAGAAGTTGTGCTCTGATGATTCGTTTTTCGGATGGAGATAGAGCAGTTCTCTCCTGCTTCCTTTTCTACCCTGTCTCTTGGCTTTGCTTCCTTCTTTCTGCCTTCAATACTGAGTGAGCCCTGTTACGCATTTTGGTGTGTGAGAGCAAACGTTGTGACAAACCTTGGTAAAATGAGTGCTAGGAGGATGAGAGAAACCTCTTTTAGATCCTGCTGCTCTCTTTACGTTATCTACCATGCAGGAAAATGATTAGATTTGGACTCGGGAGAAATAATTCTGGTCTCAGCTCTTAACAAATCTTGTGACGTTGGGCAAACCAGCCCCTCAGAAGAGGTTGTCTCATTGTCTTAAGTAATAATTTATGGAGCAGTTTCTAATTGTTTAGTTTTTGCTAGACTGGCCCTATTGCATACTTCATGAAAAAAAATTCAAATTCATCATTACGGAAACATTAAGATAGGTGGGGGAAGATTAAAGAGAAACATAATAAATCACGGAAGCATAAAGTTTTAGAATGAATAGGGTATCAAAGATAACTCAGATGAAGAACAGGAGAATGTAAGATGGGAAACGAAGTTGGATAAAGAGATGGGGATAATATGGTAGATCATGGAAGAACTACTGAAGGTTTGTACAGAACCTTGTAGTAAATATTTACACAATACTTGGTAATTTGCTAGATCCTAAAATATAAGTTAATGAAAAGGACCAGAGAAGATAAAATCTCTTAGATCATGATTTCTCAAAATTTTTGAGTTTTTTTTTTCAAGATAGGTCCCCAAGCACTACCAGGACCAATTCACATAGTATAGTAGTTCCCAATATCTCAGAGTGCGACACCCTCTTCCTTCCATAAAAAAAAATCAGAAAGGTTTTCTTTCTTTTTGTTTTGTTTTGTTTTGCTTGTTTTTGTGCCACACCCTGCGATGCTCAGGGATTACTTCTGGCCTACACTCAGGGATTACTCCGGGCAGTGTTCAGGGCACCGAATGGGATGCTAGGGATCGAAAGGGATGCTAGGGATCGGGATGCTAGGGATTGAACGCTGGTTGGTGGCATGCAAGGCAAACACCTTACCTGCCGTACTGTCACTCCAGCCCCCTTCTTTTCTGGAATGCCGTTCTTCTAGTAATGGTCAAGCTTTATCAAGAATAGTATTGTTTGCAGAAAATAAGCCTGTATATGCAATAAAAAGTATATGGTAGTAGGAGGCAGGCCCAGTAGTACAGCCAGTTAGGAGCTTGCCTTGCACAGCCAAGCATTCTATCCCTAGCACGCCTCATGGTCCCTGAGCTCTACCAGTGTGATCCTTTTGCATAAAGCCAGAAATGACCCTGAGCATTGCCAGGCGTAGCCCCCAAACAACAAAAAGTTAGAGTGCTTTCTTCCTTCTCAAAGAGTATTAGAACTTTTTTTCCTGTCTTGTGACCTTAAAAGAATGCCTGGAATGTACTTGGTGCTCATGGGCAGGTTCCAGAAGTCAAACTTGAAGCCTCACACTTGTAAGACTGGCAGTTGTCCCTGAGCAACTCTCAGGCCCCAGTTTCTGGTTTTTATTCTCAATTGGCAGGTAACAAAGGATTGAAAAAAGTTTCATTCATTCATCATTCATCATCCTGTTAATCGTCGATTGCCTCAAGCAGGCCCCAGTAACGTCTCTTTCATCCTAGCCCTGAGATTATATTCAAGGCTTTTTAGGAGAATGAGACCCATCAAAGGATTGAACAAAGGATTGAAAAAAGTTAAAATTAATGGGTAGAATTTTTTGGGGGGGGGGTTTGCTCCATACCTGGCTATGCTCAGTGCTTGCACCTGCTCTGCTTTCAGGAATCACTCTTGGCAGTGCCTGGGGGGATCATATAAGATGCTCGGGGTGGAACCCACAGAGGCTGGATACTACGACTGGCCTGTGGATAGAATTTTTGTTTGCGGGCCACAGCTGGCTATGCTCAGGGCTTACTTCTGACTTTGCATCCAGGGATCTCAGGGGGCCATGTTAGGTGCCAGGTGCGGCTCAAAATCCCTGATCAGCAGTGTGCAAGTCAAACGCCCTACCCACTGACCTATAGCTCTGACCACCCCACCCCACCCCACCCCAAACCCCCACCACCCTGTGGGTAGAATTTTCTTAAACAGTTTTTTTCCTGGAAATTAATGCAATTTTCAGCCTGAGAATACTTGAACATCTATATTGGAGCATTTAAGTTGTTCTCATTGGTATTTGGCATCTGCTAGTTTTATTTTTCTTATTCCTTCTATCAAATCTCCGGTCTCTTTAAAAATATGTTTTGGTTTTGGGCCACACCCACCTGTGCCCAGGGCTTACTCCTGGCACTGTGCTCAGGGGCTACTCCTGGCTCTGGGCTCAGGAACCACTTGTGGCTGTGCTCAGAGGACCATATGGGATGTCAGGAAAGAGCAAATGCCTTACCTGCTCTGCTATAGCTCTGGCCGTCTCAGATCTCTTACTGACATTTTGTTTTGTTTTGTTTTGTTATGGGGCCATACCACGAAGTGCACAGGGCTAACTCCTAGCTCTGTGCTCAGGGATAACTCCTTGCAGTACAGGGGATGGAGCGGGGGACACACCAGGGATAAAACCCAGGTTGACCCTATGCAAGGCTAGTGCTCTACCCTTTGTACTATTTCTCCAGCTTATCAGATTCTTAGTACTCTCATTGAGGCCCTAATTCCTTGCATTCTTAACCGATGCATTTATTTATATAACTTTACTGATAGCTGGGAGAGAGGGCTCCAGTAGTATTACTACTGAGCATTATTAAATGATAGCTGGTAATTATTGAATTTGTGGGTGAGGGTTTAAATGGGTTTTATAGATTGACCTTTAATAAGAGACTCTGACAGAAGGTTTACAATTCAGAAAAATGCTACATAGTTGCTATTTTATTTTAGGAACACAGGGTAGATTTTATTCCGAACTCCTATAGTGTCCATTCATTCTGCTTTCTCACACTGTTGGATGAATAGAGTGGAAGCCATTCTGCATTCCCTGAGAATCTGAACTTGATTTTCTGGGAGTTTCAGGGTCAGGGTACAAGCTCTCTGTTGTATATGCTGCTGATAAATGTTTTCTTTCCACTTAACAAAGCACTTTTGCAGTACAGCACCATATCCCCTTCAAAGTTTCCTTATGTTCTCCACAATTTCATTAAATTCATGCTGAATGGATGGTGAACTTCTTAAATTGTTTTTGTGTATGTTTGCAGGTTTTATTGAGGAATACTGGGACTATCACTCAACGTAATTTCAAGTGTCTGGCTAAATGACTTCTGTGCCAGTGATACCGGAGTCCTTCAGCCATGTTCTTGCAGAATTTGAGTCCCTCGATCCATTACTCTCAGCCCTACGATTAGATTCCAGTCGTCTAAAGGTGAATTTATTGATACTTGTATCAGATTCATTTTCATATTCATTTGTTCGTATGCACTGTCACATATGTTTCTGCACTCTTGTTTTATAGACGCTTGTGCTAAGAATACGTTGCATTGAATACTGGCATGTTGAGACTCGTTCTTGATTTATTTATTATTATTATTAATTTTTATTTTTATTAGTGAAACACCATGAGGTACAGTTGTAGACTTTCAAATTTTGGTGCTTGGGTTTCAGTTATACAATGATCGAGTATAGATTTATTTTTGAGCTGTCACATTTGAAATTTTCTTTCATGTCCACAATTATGATTAAATGTTTTTCCCTACTCAGTCATGTTACTGTCTTCTCTCAGAACCATATTTGAAGTAAATGTGGTATATTAAATAAGTATACTCCCATTGTATTTTGTGGAAAGAAGAAATTATGTTCCTCTCTCAAAACGTACTTTTTTTTTTTAATTAAGATCAGGTTTATTCAAAGTTACCTAGTTATTTTCAAAAAAGCAAAGTTTTCTAATTAATTCCAGAATAATTTTATTCCTAACACTTTTCTTCCTACCCAAAACACTTTATAGCTGAGCAGGGGAAAATAAGAAGAAGCAGGCAAAGGAATATGAGCAGTTATGAGGATCAGTTAGACTTTTTTTTCAGTTGCAAGTTACAAAATACCCTAATAATAGCCTAAGCAATAAATAATGTGTTTGACCTCATTGGGGGTTAGTGTCTCTGGATTTCATATAATAAAGGATATCCTCTTTCCTGTTGTATCATTGTCTCTGTTGATTTTTAGTCACTGTTGTAAGAGTCTTGGCTCCAGTCTAATGTTCCATTAGCGTCTCAATTAAGAAAGTAGAAGCCAAAAGCAAAGTCTTTCTTTTCTTTAGACTGCCTTTTTTCTCAGAAGGTAAAGCTTTTCCAGAAATTTAACTTTCCAGAAATTAAGCTAAAGAGACTTCGCTGGACTTAAGTTGCAGTGCTTTTCATAGTGTGAAAAAGTGTGAAAAGCATAGGGTGTTTTTCAAGCAAGTTGGGATGTCTGTTCATCAACTCTTAACCCATCAGCTGTCTTTGCTGCAGGGTATTGAGTCCTGCATGCTTGTTGCTTTGTTTGATGAACCCAGGGAGACATAATAGTACAGTGATTTGTGTCTGTGTCCTCTACAATCTCCCTAGCTGAGGAGCTTTGGGTATTTTATTCTAAATTTGCAAGCCAGAGTTGCTTTAAGTGAACAAATGATAAAGGTGGTTGCTTATCCCCCTAGAACTTCCTGTATTTATCTAGCCTATTGCCCCTTTGCAGAAAAAGAATCACTCCACAATCCCCTGGAAATCTACCTTCTTTAAGCAAGCAACAAGAAAGTGCCTCCCAGTTGCATTCTAGATACTGCTGACCACCTGGACCCCCCTCTTCTTCCAGGGCCTCCTGGAGAACAGTATCTCAGACTTTCTTTCATCACTGTGGTCATCACTGGAACTATGTGGCTAAATTACAAAAAGTGCATGGTCCAATAACTGGCTTTTGCCCTGGGCAGAGGAGGGATGAAAGAGATTATTCATTTATGTAGTTGAGCCTATTCATTCCATTTTGAGATTCAGCTAAAAATTTTAAGCTGTAACTTCTTCTGTGCTTTTCTTTCTGTTGGGGGAAGTGTGGTAGGTTTGGGAGCCGTGCCTGCCAGAAGCTACTCCTGGCTCTGGAGGACTATGAGTTGTTGGGATCCAGCTGGGGTCAGCCACATTCCAGACAGGTTCCTTAACCTCTGTTCTAGTTCTCTGGCCTCACTTTCTATTTTTGTTAGATGGAAATTTCATTGGTTTTTGAGCTGAGAGAAGGTACAGGGGTTAGGCACATAACTAGCACATACCTTGACCTGGATTCCAATTCCCACTGGTGCAGGTGCAGCCTAGGAGACCCCGAGCACCACTGCGGTTGCCCTGGCATCTCAGCGTCCCAACAGCACTGCATCCTTAGACCCTTGAACAGCCGGCCTGCTGCTCTCATGCCTCCTGAGCATGGGAAGGTGCAAAAATTTATTTTTGAATTTACTATTGGTTTACAGTAGATTTGTTCAAGCGAGCCCAGTTACGTATTCGATATGCCAAAAAAGTAACAAGTCTCAAAATGGAGACGTTATTGGGCCCGCTCGAGCAAATCAATGAACAACAGGAGGACAGTGACAGTGACCGTGACGGCTTTCTGGGCTCTCTAAGAGGGGCGGAGGAATTGAACCCGGCTCGGCTGGGCTGGCTGCATGCAAGGCAAACGCCCTACCGCTGTGCTATCGCTCCAGTCCTGGTTTACAATACCTAATAAATTTTTGGGTACCACTTCCAACCTTTCTGTGTAAAAACATCTCTGCACACACCACCAAAGTTCTAATGCGGTCTCTGTGATGAGGCTCATCCTCTGTGCTCCCCACCTCCTTCCCCTTTGCCTCTGACAATTGCCAGGGTTTTATCTGTAGTCTTAAAGAGTTCATTGTGATTTTTTTTAAGCTTGTTTGTTTTTGGTTGTTTAAATTTTACATACAAAAAATATGTTAAGTGTCGTATTTTCCCATGTTTTTATTATGCTAGAATGAGAATGGTTGTCTGAGCTAAGGTTGGGGTTAGGGGAAGACACTGATACGCAGATCCTTGGTACTTACAGTGACTAGTATTTTTGGTTATGAGACTGTGACGATCTCACACTTGCCTCCATGTTTTTAGTGCACAAGCATAGCTGTATCTCGGAAATGGTTGGCTTTGGGCAGTTCAGGAGGAGGACTCAATCTAATTCAGAAAGAAGGCTGGAAGCACAGACTTTTTCTTTCACACAAGGTAAGGTTAAAAACACCTTGTCACACACCATTCAATGCGAATTTCTGTATTATAGAGATATTTGTTATGGGGACCATAAAATTTAAGATTTGAAAGATTTTAAAGTGCCATTTTTGAGAAACTGCCTAATATTTTTCTTATTAAAAAATTGTTTCATGGGAACAGGAGAGAGAGTACAGCAAATAAGATACTTGCCTTGCACACAGCCAACTCTGTTCTCTCCCCTGTACCATATACGTTTCCTGGAGCTCTGCCAGAAGTGATCCCTGAATTCAAAGTAAGCCCTGAGCACTACTGAGTGTATCCCCCCCCCAAAAAAAAAGCAAAACAAAACAAAATAATAATTTTAAGCATTAACATTTTAAAATTTTATTTAATTCTAAGTAACGTTTATATTTTTAGTGTAATGAAGTTACCGTATTTCTCCCACCACTGGAGTTCTAAAAAATACCTTTCATCACTGTCCTTACTTTTTTACTTTTCTAGGAAGGTGCCATTTCTCAGGTTGCCTGTTGCTTACATGATGATGATTATGTGGCTGTGGCTACCAGGTAAGCTATCTATTTTTTTTTTTTTTTTATAATTTATTTATTTATTAAATCACTGTGGGAAAAGTTACAGAGCTTTCGGGTTTAGGTCTCAGTCATGTAGATACCGAACACATTTCCCTTTACCAATACTCATTTTTAACCCCGAACCCCAATAGACCCCCACCTCCCACCCCTCCCAATTCTTATGAGGCAGATGAGTTCTAGTTAATACTCTATCTACTTTGACTAGATAGATTATTTCGATAGAAGATGCACAATTATTGTTTAGAGTTTACGACCCACCCCCCCCCCCCAATCAGACATGCTGAAACAGCGTTGTGAAATGATTTGCTTTCTACAACTTGGTTTAAGAATAAAATGATGTCACGCGGCCGCGATAGCGGCCGCGCGGTTTTGAATTTCTGCTATTTTACTTATTGACCCTGGAAGAATTTCTATTAAAAGTTAGCTAGTTAAGAGATTGATTTCTGTGCCCTGGAGTCGTGGCCGTGCCGGAGAGCTGCTCGTGGGGGGCAGCCGGCGACCTCGGTGGGGCGTGGGGGACGGCCCACAAAGCCCCCCTTCCCATGAGGTCCCCGCCGCTTCCCCGAGCCCGGCTCAAACCCGCTTTCCACAAGGCTCCCGTGCGGCCGCCATCTTTCTTTCCAGAGAGGAGCGGGCGGGCCGGTCAACGCCCTTCCCCCTCCGGGCAGGCTTGGTGGTGCGCATCAACACAAGTCCATTTGCTTTTCTGCTCCAAGCGGCTGGTTCTCTGTGCTAGCTATCTATTTTTAAGTCTATCTAATTTTAAAACTCTGGACTAGAGAGATAGTACAATGAGTAGGGCACTTTCCTTACACTCACCTAGCCCAGGTTTGATCTGTGGTACCACTTATGGCCCCCTAAGCACTTTTAGGTGTGATCCCTGAGTACCACCAGTTGTGGCCTAAAAACCACCTGTGATTGGGTGACTAATTCTAATGCAATGGTCAGGGGCCACTCCTAGTGGTGCTTGGGGTAACATGTAGGACCATTACTCAAAGTCAATGTTTTCGCATCCAAAATATTCACTCCATTTTTTTAAGCTCTTTCCTGGGCTATCCAAATGCACTTTTTTGTCTTATTTAATTGCTTTTGTGTCACACACAGGGGTCTTCAAGGGCCACTGCTCAGTTGCTCAGGGCTCACTAATGGTGCTTAGATGACCATGCAGTGCCAGGGTACAAATCTAGGCCTTTTATATACAAAGCATATGCTCCAACCTATTGATCCCTATCCCACAAATACTTGTGTTTGTTTGTTTGCTTATGGGCGTGCCTTACTATGTTCAGGGTATGTTCCTGGCTTTATGCCTAGGGATTGCTCTTGGTAGGACACAACTCCTGGGGGCCATTAGTGGTGCTGGGGATTGAACCCCAGGTGGTTATGTGCATTGAAAGCACCTTGCCTACTATACTATTTCTTCAGCCCCCACAACTGCTAAACAGTTGTGGCTGTAGACTTGTTAGGATTTGCATAGCATATCCCAGTTTGAGCATTTGAGAGTCCTGTGTCCTTAGGGACATCTCAGCCCCTAGCAAACAGGAGTAGATTTGTTGATCTCTCTAGTGTTTGTGGAAAATGTTAATGTGGGACAGATCTCAATGCCATTAAAAGAGAAGGAAGGGTAACAATTTAGAGCAGAGATTTGCAAAATTATTTGGTCTATTGCTTTTTTAGGGGGAAGTAAGAAACAGCACTGTGTCCCCTAGAAATCAACTTTCTTTAAGCAAACAAACAGAAAATTCCCCAGTTGCACCTGACAGTACAACTATTGCAGGTGACTCTTGGCCTACTTCCCTCTTTGCCTACTTCCCTCTCCACTCCCCAGTGGCTGGGGAAAGTCAGTGATAAAAGTTGGCTCAGTACAGACCTCACATCTACCAGCCCCGCGAGGCAGCTGTTAAGCTTCACTGAACTTCTTTTGTTCTGCCCGGCATCAGGGATGACCACAGCCTCCTGATTTCTCAGGGAGTCATAATCTCAGACTTGGAGGGAGGAATTGTTCTTTGCAGGAAAGGGTAGTAAGTCCTAGGCCTTACCCATACTTTTCAGGTCTGTCATCTCTCCCTCACAGAAGAGAATTTCAGTAAGAGACAAATAGTCAAGTAGAATAGCTCTTCCTTAGAGGAATGAAGAAGGAAAGAACTGAGCATGTGCATCTCAGGTGAATATGCCAACCACTCCAGAATGGGGAGGCATGATGCTTGCCTTTGGTTGGTTTTATAGGTTTTTCTCCCAAACTACCCCTATGAGAGGCTTTCCTGAGAGTCTGTTGGGTCCAGAGCAGTAGTAGAGTGGCTAGGCTGTTTTCTCTGCATGCTGACCCAGCTTTGTCCCTGGCACACCATATGGTCCCCTGAGCAACACCAGGAGGGACCCCCAAGCATAGAGCCAGTAGTAACCCCTGAGCACTGCTGGGTATATAACAACAAGAAAAGGAGTCCATCGCTTCGACATTGTCAAGGAGAAGAACTTGAAACTTTCAGTAGCTGGCCTTCATGTCCTTATCATAATCCTTTGCTCCCACTAGAGCTTCTCTCTGGAGTGGGGTCAAGCTTTCTCCAGGCCTGGCCTGGCACCAGTGAAAGTCTCTGTTCCTGTGTCCACAGTGTGGGCCCTGCAACAATGCGTTTAGCTGCATTAGGGCTAGTAACACATGGCTGACTTCTTTAGATCTCATCTTGGTTTTATTACAACACACAAACACTGTCCTCCCGTTGTTCATCGATTTGCTCGAGCAGGCCCAATAATACCTCCATTTTGAGACTTGTTGTTAACTGTGTTCGGCACAGCCATGAGGGCGAGATACTCTCCGTAGCTTGCCAGGCTCTCCGAGAGGGGCAGAGGAATCGAACCCGGCTCGGCCGGGCTGGCTGCGCGCAAGGCAAACACCCTACCACTGTGCTATCGCTCCAGCCCTTTACATCCCCGATTATTACAAACTGATTGCCAGGCCATCTCATCTACCTGTCTGCTTCATAACCGTAGTGTCCTTGCGGGTAGGCTGGGGAGTGGGGAAGACAGTATTACCTACTTTGGGAACACTGGTTTAGAACATCTAACTTGACCGATTGCTTGACTGAAGCAAGAAAATTAGTAACTTGACCTTCTACTTCCTCTTTTAGGAAGAACAGGACTTTGCATGTGTATATAATATAGCTGATTCTGTGAGATAATGCAATTGTATCGTTTTCCCCCGTTCTCAAAAATTTACTTCTGTGACTTAATTCTTGCAGTCAAGGTCTTGTGGTTGTTTGGGAATTAAATCAAGAGCGCCGTGGGAAACCAGAACGAATTTATGTTTCTTCAGAACACAAAGGCCGAAAAATTACTGCCCTCTGTTGGGATACAGCTATTCTTAGAGTTTTTGTAGGTGATCACATGGGGAAAGTGACTGCTATTAAACTGAATGCATCCAAACAAGCAAAGGTGAGAATAATCCAATTGTTCTTTGTGCATGTGGATAAGGTATAAGGTGTCCTTTTATAGAATTTCAGTTAAACGATAATATATCTTTTATTTCTTGAAGAATAGATCTAGAGTTTAGACCATTAGCTTTGAGAATTGTGTGTATATGGTACATACAATAACTTGCTTGCTTTTTCTTGATTCTGTTTCAAAATGAGTTGTGAGCTAACTTGAAGGAATTTGTTCTTTGTCTTTTGTAAGTACCCCTTAATTATCTGAAATGACTGCTAATTATAACATTCTTCAATAGCATGCTATGTAGTATGTGTGTGGGGGGGGAGGAAATATGTCTGTTTATTAGTTGTGTGAATGAAATGGCAACCAGAGAAATGGTACCAGTTGCCCAGATTTCTGTTTTTCTGTTTTTCCTAAGGTTTTTGTTTGTTTGTTTTGGGTTTTTTCCATGCCCAGGGGTGCTCAGGATTTAATCCTGGCTCTGTACTCAGGGATCACTCTGGGTGGTGCTAAGGGGACTATATGTGAGGCTAGGGATGGACCCAGGTAGGCTGCATACAAGGGAAACACTCAGCAGTACTTTCTTTGACACTTGGTATATAGTCTTTTGGAATGAATTTAATATTATGAATAGAGGGTCTGTTTCTTTTGGCCCACACCCAGTTGTCCTCTGGGTTAGACTTACTCCTGATTCTGTACTCAGACATTACTCCTGGTGGTATGATTTTATGTCTATACAAATTAACTACCTTTGGCTTATTTAAAATTTTCTTTCTGGGAAGGTTGGAGCAATAATACAGTGGGTAGGGTGCTTGCCTTGCATCCGGTGGACCCAGGTTCTATTTCTGGCATCCCCTATGATCCCCTGAGCACCACCAGGAGTGATCCCTGAGCACAGAGCCAGAGTAAACCCTGACAATAGCCAGGTAATGGCTTGTAAAGAAACAACAACAACAACAAATTTCATATCTCTCACAAGCTTCCTTTCATTTAAAAGATAGAGAAGGGACAGTGAGATAGTACAGCAGGTAAAGTCCTGCACAGCTGACCCAGGTTTGATCCCAGGCATATGACCCGCATGTGCACAATCCTGATCCTCAGGAGTGATCCCTTAGCACAGTCAAGTGTGACCCAATAATACCAACCAAAAATAAATAAATAAAATAAAGCTTAACAGAAAGAGGTTATGTGTATATGTTGGAAAAATAATCTTTTATTTCCTTGTCATGTTCTGTCTAGGCAGCTGCGGCCTTTGTGATGTTTCCTGTTCAGAACATAACAACTGTTGACTCCTGTGTTGTCCAGTTAGATTATTTGGATGGGAGACTACTTATATCTTCACTTACTCGCTCCTTCTTGTGTGACACTGAGAGGTATATAGACCAGTCATGAGTTTGAGCATATACGGAATTTTAGAACTGGAAGGTGTAGTGTGTCATTCAGCTAAGCCTCTCATTCAGTTACACAGATACCAGTGAGAGTCCTGGAGTCCTGTGTGGCTCAGTGCTGCTCATACAAGGCCCTGGGTGTGATTCCTAGCATCCCCTCGAGTTATATCGATGTTAATAAGGAACCATTTAAGTAAAAGTTAGTACTAGAGAGTACTAAGAAATGAGAGGAGACTGAGATACTTCATTAGACCTGTAAGACAAATACTTAGTTGATTGTGCAATGAGGTGAGAGAGCCATGTCTGACATCCTGCCAGGAGTGATCGCTGCACAGAGGCTTGTTTTACAAATAAAATAAAGGTGCTGAAGAGAGTATAGAGATTATGTCGCTTGCCTTGGATATGGCTGACCAGGGTTCTATGCCTGGCATCCCATATGGTTCCCAGACATTGTCAGGAGTGATTCCTAAGTGCATAGCCAGCAGTAAGCCCTGAGCACCTCCAAGTGTGGCCCAAAAACAAAATAAGTAGTGAGCTATAAGGCTAGAGAGAGAGTATAGCAGGAAGGGCTCTTACCTTGCATGCGGCTAGCCCTGCTTCAATCTCCAATACCCATATGGTTCCCTGAGTCCACCAGGAGTGATTCTTGAGTATAGAGCCATGAGTAATCCCTTAGTACTGCCAGGTGTGACCCAAACACAAAAAAAGAGCTAGGGAGTAGAGAGTTAACTCAAAGGTTCTGTCTTAATCTCTCTGACCCCATCATTCAATAAGTAAGTCAGAGGGGAAATGATGGCAGTAAGTTATGAATAAATAAAGATGTTTTTAGGAAGTGATATTATTTATGATCATCTTTATTACTGTTTCCTGTGTGCAAAACTTATAGTCTTTTATATACTTAAGTTGTGTATTCATAAGGAGACGGAATGTTCCAGGGTATGAATTTCAGAAGGACTTGACATTTTGAGTTAAGTACAGGGTTTATTTGGGTGTTTATGGTGAGGGAGCCACCTGGACACAGGGTTGGAGTGGTAGATCAATAGTTCCCATGTTGCTTAGAGAACCAAAGTGACTTTGATGCTGTAAGTGGGATTTTAGAGTGCATGCAGTGGTTTGCAGCACTGATTTTTTTTTTTGTTGGGGGAAAGGGGCTGGAGCGATAGCACAGTGGGTAGGCGTTTGCCTTGTGCGCGGCTGACCCGGCCAACACAGGTTCGATTTCTCCACCCCTCTCGGAGAGCCCAGCAAGCTACCCAGAGTATCTCACCTGCATGGCAAAGTCTGGCAAGCTATCCCTGACGTATTCAATATGCCAAGCACAGTAACAAGTGTCACAATGGAGACATTACTGGGCCTGCTTGAGCAAATTGATGAACAACGGAAGGACAGTGACGACAGATTTGAAAGAAGCCTTCATATTAATTCTGAGCCCCTGAGTTTGTAAATGACATACTGACTAGTAATAGAATGGATTGCTTCCTCTTTTAATTATTTGCTTCCAGAAATACTTTAAGGCAAATCATACCTTTGACCTTTGTATTTTATTATTCTTTCCAGTTAACGTGATTATTAATACTGATAGAAAAGGCACATTATGGTAGAGTTATAATAGCCATTCTTATTTGCATGTCATTGTTTTCATGTTTGGGTAATTAAACATGTTTTTCTTTCTTTTGGGGCACTAGGGAAAAGTTCTGGAAAATTGGAAACAAGGAAAGAGATGGAGAATATGGAACTTGTTTCTTCCCCATAAGATGTTCTTCAGGCCAGCAACCCTTAATATATTGTGCTCGTCCTGGCTCCAGGATGTGGGAAGTAAATTTTGATGGGGAAGTTTTAAGTACACACCAGTTTAAGAAACTCCTTGCAACCCCACCTCTCCCTGTGATTACATTCAGGTAATGGTTTGTGTGGCTTATCCAGGGAATATTTGTGGAATTTACGTGGAAGGGTTGGTTGGGTTGAAACTCTAATAATATGTTCAAGATTTTGTAGGAGTGAGGCTATAGCTTAGTGGTAGAATGTTTATCTTGTAGTTGTGAGACCTGGGTTTGATCCCCTGTACAGAGGGTAAGGAGAGAAAAAATAGTTTACTGTGCCCTTTAAGAGTAAAGCAGAAATTTTACTAAAAATTTCAGATAGGGGACAGAGAAGTGCTTAAAGAACTGTGTGCATGCTTGTTATGCATGCAGGAGGCCTGGGTTTGATCCCCAGCACCACCCTCAGTACCCTGGGGTGTGATCCTGACCACAGAGTCAGAATTAGTACTACCTGAGTGCTACCACCTGTAACCCAAAAACCAAACCAAACAAAAAACGATTATGAAAAACTAGAAGCTTTAATCAGTTTACTTTTATGTGATTCAAACAATGAGGGTAGGTGTAGTTACGTTCTTGAGTTCATCTTGGGGGCAAGCATTTTCCGGTATTTTAACCTAGTTATTGAATAGTTAACAGATGTTTTTCCTTCCTAGATCAGAACCTCAGTATGATCATACAGTTGGAGCCCCCCAGTCTTTGTCTTTCCCCAAGCTCTTGCATCTTAGGTAAGTTTATCTCTTGAATTTTTTTTTTCTTTTTAAGAATACTCTTATTTCTTGTTAAGAGACATTCAGCTTTTAAAGGTGGGGCTTTGGGGTTTGTTTTTGTTTTTGTCAAATGATTTTTGGAAAACTAGAGAATAGAACCAGAGCAATAGCACAGAGGGCAGGGCACTTACCTTACAGGTGGCTAACCCAAATTCAATCCCTGGCATCCGATACAGTCCCCTGGTCCCACTGGGTGTGATCCAAAAACAAAACTAAAAAACCTAGGAAATGACTGTACTTCAGAAAGTTTTGTGGGTGTTATGTTGTTGTTACTGGTTTGGAGGCCAAGGCTTACTCCTGGCTGTGCACTAGGGAATCATTCCTGGCAGGATTTGCTATGTGGTTTTGAGGGTCAGACCCGGCTTGCAAGGCAAGCTCCTTCCCAGCTGTACTATCTCTCCAGCACCATGATGTGTTTGCACCAGTAACAGGAATGAAAAGATAGTAGAGCTGTGCTCTGCTTTCTGCAGGAACTGACCTAAACTGATGGTACACTATTATCGGTGAACTTCTGACAGAGCTGAGAAGGAAGGGGGACTAGATTCTTTACCAGCTAGTGGGTTGTTACATTGAAACTAAGTCTTAGAGAGAATGTATCTATTTTTTAATAGACAGTCACAAAAATAGTGGGACAATGAACTTGTTCTTATAAGCTTGGTGAAATTTCAACTCTGTTCTTCAGGCATTCTGATAAGTACCATGCACAAAAGGCCTACCTTCTGTACTCTAAACATCAAGATTCAGCTAGCCACCTACTTTGGTTAGGTGTGCAAAAGTCTACTATTTTGTGGCAACAAAAGTGCCATTAAAGTCTCTGAAATGTTCAGCTTGCAGTTCTTTGTGGTGGGGGGGGAGGTGAGGAGGGAGATGGAGGGGACTACAGGCCCCCTAGGCAGTGCTCAGGGAGCCCTGGATCTACTCACAGTCAGCCATTCCAGACAGTGCAGCGCTGGGCATCGCCAGACCCATCCTCTTGGTGCGCAGGGGCCACCAGGGCTATAGCTCTGGAGCTCTGGGGGACATGCTGTGGCAAGGATAGAACTTGAGTGTGGCATATTGCCTTTGTCAAGTTCTTTTAGGTATGTGCTCTACCCCTGAGCTATATTCCCAGCCAGCATTGGCGTGTTCTAAAAACCTTGTTCATAAAGCCTAGGAAGTGCTAGCTTTGCTTCCTGGTGCAATCTGTGTATCTAGAACTTGACTTCATTAATGGAAAATTAATGCTAATATTCCCTAGTTAGTAAGATCTCTAATACTGATTTGATTCATTTGGAAGTTATTATAGGGTACTTAAGTTTTACCTCTTACCAGGGACCAGTGCCAGGTGAACAGGCCTGAAGCAGGGCACAGTGAAGATTAAGAGAAGAAATGAGAGGAAAAGTATGGGATCGAGGGGCTAGCAGCCTTCTGGACTGAGAGCTGACTGAGCTTTACTTTATTTATTGATTAGAACCATTAAACACTATAAACTTTCTTTATTTGGTTTACATATCTGAGAGTGTTGGTCAAATATGAATATAAACATGGGTTTTGATTGGACGTAAACATATATGAAGCTCTTCTTTCAGAGAAAAGTCTTCTAGGCGATCCACCCAGGAGCAACACCCCATCTCGGGACGCCAGCATTCTGGATCCTGGTCCCAGCAACCTTTGATTGAGTTTCTTTAAAATATAACCACTATTAAGGCCACAGAGATAGTTTAGCAGTAGGGAAACTTGCCTTGCTCTGGCCAACCCAAGTTCAATCCCTTATGGTCTCCCCAAGCACCACTAGGAGTAATTCCTAAGTGCAAAGCCAGGACTAATTCCTGAGCCACCTCCGGGTGTGACACAAAAACAAAAACAAAAACAAAAAAAATCTATCGTTTTAAGTATGTGGTCTTTTGAAAAACACTTGAGGGACTTAAAAGATAGTTCAACAGATTGGGTGCCAAAGCATATTTTGCATGTAAGAGGCTAGGATTTAGTACCCCACACCACAGGTTCCTGAGCACTGCAGGATGGTCCCAGAGCACAAATTTAAGAGTAGCCCTTGAGCACCCTAGGAAGTGAACCGAAACCCCAAACATTTTTTTAAAGCCACTTGAAGTGTTAACTAATTGTTCCTAATTAATGTGTACATATATTGTACTGGGCTGGAGTGATAGCACAGTGGGTAGGGCATTTGCCTTGCACGCAGCCGACCCGGTTTTGATTCCTCCCGGGTTCTATTTCTCCATCCCTCTCAGAGAGCCCGGCAAGCTACCAAAAATATCCTGTCCACACAGTAGAGCCTGGCAAGCTCCCGGTGGCGTATTCAGTATGCCAAACAGTAACAATAAGTCTCATAATGGAGACGTTACTGGTGCCCGCTTGAGCAAATGGACAAACAACAGAGGACATTGCTACAATGCTCTATATTATACTACCTCCACTAAAGTGTAATCTCATTAACGGCCAAGATCCAGAGACTATAAAACAAAGCTCCCAGAAGCGCACGGCCATATTCTCCACGCAACTGCTTATAGTGTACCTTTGTCACTCTCAGAAAACCCAGAAAGCTACCAAGAGTATCCTGCCCGCAGAGCCTGGCAAGCTCCCCATGGCGTATTCGATATGCCAAACACAGTAACAATAATGGGTCTCATTCCCCTGACCCTGAAAGAGCCTCCAATACAGCACTGTTGGGGAGGACGAGTAATGAGAGGCTGCTAAAATCTCTGGGCTGGGATGAATGGAGGCGTTACTGGGCCCGCTCGAGCAAATCGATGAACATGGGATGACAGTGGTACAGTAATACACTAAAGTACTTCAAGTAAATTGAGGAAACTATGAAATGATAATTAATCTTGATAATTACTGGGAAAAGTTATTTATATGCCCATAATTCAGTGCAACATATTAAAAACTTCCTCTATGGTACCTATTATAGTTTATAATTACATACTCATATAGTCATTATGCCTGTCTTAACCCTGGGCTAAGCTCCGTGAGAGCTGTGTCATTTCTGCTCACTGTTTGTCAGTGGTTGGCATCGTGCCTGGTGCCTGATAGACATGATGAATATTTGTGAACCTGAGTGTGGTGTGACAGGAAGCTCCTTGCCTAAGGGTTAGGGTTAGGGTGTGCTTTCTCATGGTGAGACCACTGTCTGATCCATTCTTGGAGTTATTCCTCATGAGTTAAGCTATTTTGAGCTCCTCCTACAGTTCCTACCATAGCAAAGCCCTTTAATGATCTGGCTAAGTTTGCTTCTGAGCCTTAAGTGATAATTAATGCCACTTTGAAGTCTTTGCTCACGTTTCCAGCCTTTGCTCGTTTCTCCAGCAGTCTTAGTTTCTACCTTCTGTGCTTGCTTTGCACTAGGATCCTGTTTTTCTCTGTTTGTTCAGTTTTTTCCTATCTGTGGGTGCATCTGTTCATCACTCTGTCAGCCTCCGATTTCACTGATATCCTTCCCAGTACTGTACAGGCTACTTCTTTATTATGGACACAATGCTCTCTACATAGAAAACTATCCAAGTGTAGCTCGATGAGACAATTCATTAAAGATTTTTTGGGTTTTGTTTTGGAATTGGTGCCTTGGAGCCAAGGAGCGAGCTTGATAGTCAGAGGTGTGTGCGTTGCATGCCTGGGACTGGAGTTCAGACCTTGGCCCTGGTCATCCCTCAGGCTCTAGCGCTGATCTGCCCACCCTGGCTGCCTGGGTATCACTGGCTGTAAACCTCAGGCCCCCTTATCATGGCTTGGGAACCTCCCCTACCCTCAAACCAAAGAAAAAGAAAAAGGGCCTTGTCAGCAGTAACCAGTGATAGGAACCCTGATGAGTCTTGGCCAGTCTCTGCAGGGCCTGATGATCAGCCCAGCAGTGCTCTGGAGCCATATGTTTCTGGGGTTCAAATACCGGGCTTCACACACAGGACATGCATTCCCGCTTCTTTGAGCTGTCATCTCCCTGATCCCAAAGATTTATTATTTTTTTTAATCATAAGTAGAGAGCTTTTTGCTTATTTACTTCAATCAGTGGGCTGGAGTGATAGCACAGAGGTAGGGTGTTTGCTTTGCAAGCTGCCAGCCCGGCCGAGCCAGGTTCGATTGCTCCACCCCTCTCAGAGAGCCCGGCAAGCTACCGAGAGTATTTCGCCTGCACGGCAAAGCCTGGCAAGCTACCCGTGACGTATTCCATATGCCAAACACAGTAACAATAAGTCTCACAATGGAGATGTTACTGGGCCCGCTTGAGCAAGTCGATGAACAACGGGAGGACAGTGCTATAGTGCTGCAGTGCGACTTCAGTTATTACTTTATACGCTTGTATCCTGTGGCAATCTTGACAGTTGCACCGACAGTTCCCATAAGAAAGAATTCTTACATGCTTTCTTTTTGGGTAAGTTGGTATTACTTACCCTGGTTTTTGCTTTCTTTCCTTTTTTTTTTCTTTTTGTCAGTATGGACCCAGAGGTGTGTGGGGGAGAGGGGCCACTCCTAGTGGTGCTCCCTACACTTGAGTTGGGCCCAGCTGAATGCTGGGGGCCACCAGAGCTACACCTGGAGTTACTGGGCAGGATGTGTGGCGTAGACGATCCAAGTCCAGGCCCATGTGATTTAGGTTGCAATTTTGAAGGAATCCGTTTCAGTATCCCTCACTATGCAGATTGGTTTTGTTTTTTAATCCAGGGATCCTCTGGCTTCCTGGTTTTTTCCTCTAGATTCTTCTGGTTTTTATTTTGTGTGTGTGTCTGGGTTACATTTGACTACTAGAGCCTACACCTGGCTCATTGCTCCTAGTGATATATAGGCCGTTTAGAGTTGGGGGTTGAACCCAGGTCCTCTGCATGCAAAGCCTGTGCTCTAGCCCAACTGAGTTATCTCCCTTGTCTTACTTTTAACGCATTGACATTACATGTACTACCAGTGGCTCACACTGGGATGCAGTTTAATGAACACAAATCGCAGCACCAGCATCAACATGTTAAGGAGAATCTGTCCATTTCTTTCATCTTCATGATATTCATTACTTGTCTAGTAATAGTGATCTTGGTGTTTCTTGTTTGTTTGTTTGTTTGTTTGTTTTGTTTTTGGGGTTACACTTGGTGGTGCTCAGGGACTGTAGTGCTGGAGGTGGAACCTAGCTGGAACATGCCTTGCATGCACTCCAGCTCTCTATGTGTGTGCATGAACTATGGCTTCCTACACTCAGTTCTTGGCATATTATTTCACCACCTCCCCGCTAAGCTTCAGTTTTCTTGTGTATAATATGGGGATGGACTGGACAGTGCAGGGCTTACTAAGGCGTTTTATATATGGCTGACTCTGGTTCGGTCCCCAGACTCTAATGGTGCCAGGAACACCACAGGGACCAACTCCAGCCCATAGCTATAGCAAGTGCTGGGCATGTCCCCTGAGCACCACTGCATGGGACCCAGAGAAACAAAATGGGGATAACATGGTTTAATGAGTTGGTACAATGTTAGAAAATATAGGTAGAGTTTTTTGAGGGCCATGTAGGTAGAGCTTTTAGTAAAGTGTTTAGCATGTAATTGGCCAGGAGTTTTCTCTTCCAAAAATTGTTTTTTTTTATTACTATCATAATATATGTTATAGTAATACATGTTTTATTATATACACACATGTGCATATACACACATATATTGCAGGGGCCCTCACCTGGTGGTGCTCAGGGATTACTCCTGACTCTGCACTCAGGAATCACTCCTGAAGAACTTAGGGATCATATGGGATGCTGGGGATTGAGCCTGGGTCGGCCACGTGCAAGGCCAGTGTTCTGCCACATAAGATTTTTTATGGTGCTCGGGACTTTACACAAAGCCTCACACTTATGAGGCGTGTGCTCTGCCATTGAGCCACACTCCTGCCTTCCCCCCCTTTTTTAAATTTAGGTAACAGTGATTTATGTTACTGTATAGGTTTCAGAAGTGTGTTTTTTTTTCTTCACACCTCTTCAAAAATACATTGTCACAACTAGCCCGCCATAGGTGCCAAAGTCCCTATAGCACTGTCTTTTGGACCCTTTTCAATTTGACACAAGGGAAAGGCAGAGAGGCACAAAGGGTAAAAGGAGTTCTCAGACTTTATTGCCCACACCAAGTAAGAACATTAAAATATTACCATTTCTGGGCCAGGGAGATAGCACAGTAGGCAGGGGCACTTGCCTTGCATGCAGACTTGACCCAGATTCAATCCCTAGCCCCCCCTATCGTACTCTGAGCCCCACCAGAAGTGGCCCCTGAGCACAGAGCCAAGAGAAGCCGCAGAGCACCAATGGGCATGGCCTCCAAAACATACAAGCCTCTTAATTTTTCTAAAAAATGTTTAATGTGTGTGTGATATATATATATATGGTATATATATGGTCCGGCAAGCCCACACAGCAAAGCCTGACAAGCTACCTGTGACGTATTCAATATGCCACAAACAGTAACAAGTCTCACAATGGAGACATTACTGGTGCCCGCTCAAGCAAATCAATGAACAATGGGAGGACAGTGCTATACAGTGCTATCTATCTATCTATCTCTATATATATATGCATAAAGCTTTTTCCAATTAGTCACCATATTTCAATGGACTGTTATATACAGAAAGTAGTAATAGGACTTGATTAACTAGGTCATTATTGTGTTCTTTGTGCTGATTTTGGGGGGCTTCACCCAGTGATGATAGGGCCTACTCCTGGCTCTCCATTCAGGAATTACTCCTGGTGGGGCCCAGGAGACCATATGGGATATTGGGTATCAAAGCCGGGTCAGTCACATGCACAAGCAACCTCCCTCCCCACTGAACTGTTTCTCCAGATCCATGTACAGTCTGGTTTTTAATAGCCACTGTGAAAATCTGAATTTAGGGAATCATTATATAATAAACTTAGCTATCTCACTAAACTAGAATCATTGTGATTTATTTTCATTTACAGTGAGCATTGTGTGCTAACTTGGACAGAAAGAGGAATTTATATTTTTATTCCTCAGAATGTTCAAGTTCTTCTTTGGAGTGAAGTCAAAGGTAATTTTATTTTACTTCCTTGCATAATTTTTAGTCTCATGATTGTGAAAGATTTAATTATTGTTGGAAGAGTCTCTTACAGTGTAAGAAGTAGAAAAATAGAATGAGGCGACATTCCTTTTAAAGATTAAATTAACATAACTTTTCCCACTGTCAGATATTCCTCATGGATACATTTGTCAGTTTGTGTTCAGTTTAATTTTTAATGTGTAATTTTAAATGAAATGAAAGTTTCATTCATTCATAAATATTTCTAACCTTTGCTGAGAATTAGATTAGTTTCTTCTACATATTACGCTGAATTATTATCTCTATTTGGAGTTTGGTGTTGTAATAGTTTGAGGTCCAAAAGTACTTGTATGTGACTGAGGCAAAGAAATTAAATCTCTGTTCTTTCCTTTTAAACCATAAATGGAGAAAATCCAGCATCTTTACATTGCTTCTTGGAGAATGTTTTGACTTTTGAGGTTATTTTCTACATTCTATTTTTTAAACAAAAAAAAGATAAAGGGAGAGATGGGTGTTTGATCATTGTATAACTGAAACTCAATCTTGAAAGCTTTGTAACTGTATCATAGTGATTCCGTTAAAAAAAAAACTTAAATAAGGGAATCATTACTTAACCAACCTGATCAACACTGATTTATTATGGGTTCTATAAGAGTGTTCCATGGAAACTAGCTTCTTAATTCTCCTTGCTTGATGTTCTGCCAATACAAATATCTTCTCATAAAATGTTTGTGACTTACACGTTGTGTTAAAATTCTTCATTAGGATTGGAGCGATAGCACAGCGGGTAGGGCGTTTGCCTTGCACGCGGCCGACCCGGGTTTGATTCCCAGCATCCCATATGGTCCCCCGAGCACCACTAGGAGTAATTCCTGAGTGCATGAGCCAGGAATAACCCCTGTGCATTGCCATGTGTGACCGAAAAGCCAAAATTAGTTAATTAATCCTTCACTAACATCAGATTTAGACTCTCAGAAATGCTATGGTGTGGTCTGTACTGTAGAATATTTTATTTATTTTTCTGGTTTTGGTGCCATACCCAATGATACTCAGAGATTATTTCTGGCTCTGCACTCAGGAATCACTCCTGGCAGTGCTTCAGGGAAATCATATGGGATGCTGGGGGTTGAACCCAGTCAGCCATATGCAGGATAAGTATCTTACCCACTATACTATCTCTCCAGTCCCAGAATGCTCTCTTGAAAGTCCAAGCCCCTTTTACAGAAAGTAGCATTTTAAATATGCAATTTCAAAATGAAGAGATTATTTCTCTATATTTTTCATTCTTGATGTTTTTAGATTTAGATCTATTATGACTTCATTGAAATGTAAGAATAGAGTCACAGGGATAGTATAGCAGGTAAGGTGCTTACCTTGCATATAGATGAGAAAGAAAAGGAGGGGAAGAAGGGAGCAAGGATTATGAAACAGGTGAAATTCAAGATAAGCCCTACGAAAAGTGCATTAGATTCGCTTCAGTCCTTGCGAAAATGGGAGAGGACTATTTTATAACATCCTCTATGTTTGCCCCTCTGGTTTTTACAGATATTCAGGATGTGGCTGTCTGCAAGAATGAAGTGATCTGTTTGCACTTAAATGGGAAAGTCTCACATCTTTCATTACTGTCGGTGGAGCGCTGTGTGGAACGTCTGCTAAGGAGAGGCCTGTGGAACCTGGCTGCTCGCACTTGCTGTCTTTTCCAAAATTCTATCATTGCCAGCAGAGTGAGTCAAAGAGCTTAGATATTCATCTCATTTTTGAAACCAGCCTAGCTTGGGGATTGTAATTGTATTCCAAAGTTTTTGTCTTTATTAATCTTTCCTGTATATGTTCTACACTTAAAGAAACAGTAAATCCCCCGAGAAAGCATGACACAGTGTCAGAGATAGTACAGCAGGTGAGATATTCAACTAACATGAGGCTGATCCAGGAGTGAGCCCTGAGCACAGAGCCAGGAGTGAGTCCTGAGCAGTACCCAATGTGGCCCCCCAACAAAACATAAGAAAGCATGATGCATACATCAAGGAGTGAGTAGAAATAGGACAAAGGGTATACTTTCCACCAAAATCTTATATGGTCCCTCCAGCACCACCAGGAGTAATTCCTGAGTGCAGAATGGAGAGTAACCCCTAAGAATCTCCGGGTATGATCCAAAAACAAAGCTAAACAAAACAAACAAACAAAACATCACCAGGTGTGACACAGAAAACAAATAGAATTTCGAAGATTGCACTCAAGCCTGTTGACAGCACCAGGGACACAAATACATGACTTTAACTTTCCAAGGCAAGCTTAAATTGCTGAGCTAAACCCCAGCCTAGGGTGTTAAGTCTCTGTTTTGTTTAGTGTGTGTGTGTGTGTTGGTGGTGGTGGTGGTGGCGGGGGGGGGGGGGGGGGGGGGATCTCCTGAAAAGTGTTCAGGATGCCTTGGGGGTTCCTGCTTGACTAACTAGGCCAGCATTTTAATGCCAGGAAGAATATGCTCTCAGACCCCCAAAGTGCTCTGACTCCCCAGGCCACTTTGTGGTACCTGGGGGCCTGCGGGGTTGTACCTGGCAATGTTTGGGTGACTGTGCGGTACTGGGGATCTATCTGACATTGACTGTGTGCGTGGCATGTGTCTTATCACCCTGTTCTATCACTCTAGCCCCTTGGTTCTCTTAGAGCACCTTTGAGGTTTCCTGTTTTGTACTGGACCTCTTTCAGTTCATTGGTCATTTGAATATAGATTACTACAAACTGTAAACTGTTCCATTGACTTTCTGTTTATCCTTTTATATCAGGGAAGAAAATCTTTGACGCTTGATAAATTGGAACATTTGAAATCTCAGCTGGACCTCACAACCTGTAGGGATCTAATTTCTCAACTCGAAGATTTGATGTTAAAATTTGAACCTTTAGATTCAGCTTGCAGCAGTAGAAGAAGCTCAATTTCATCACATGTAGGTTTTCTCATTTTTAATAGTTTTATTACATAATGTGTGCGCAGAGTGGTCTCAGCATGGTGGTGGCTGGTCCTGGAGGTCTTCGGCTGCTGGAGCCCTGGTCGGGGCGGGGAGGAAAGCTCAATCCGCTCCCCTCCAAGGGGCCCCGGCGAGGAACAGCCGGGCGCGGGGGCAGAAGTCCAATAAGATTTATCTGATCCAGGTATACTCGTATCAGAGATACCAAAACTCACATTACTTTTTCTTACACTGAATTTGGGGGAAGGGTTTCAAGATGGTTATTTGAACTTTCTTCAGCCCAGTGGAGCCTCCATTTAGATGCGTCTTAGAGCCACGATTTGTTTTATTTCCTTTCCGTAGCTCCAATACACGTTAGATACTCCAAATAAGTGAATTTAGATGCATCGTGCCAACTTGAGTTTCTGTAGCTCAGAATTGTCTCATTTTTTTCCCCATTTTCATTGCCAGGCTTTATGAAATATTGTAGAGATTATCTAGAGAAATGTCATAGCACAAAACGAACACATAAGAGGGACACAGCTGCAGGATGCCTTTGCTCAGCAGTTTGATCTAACAAGCCACATTTTTTTTCTTGTTTTGAGAAAATAAATACTCCTGCTGCGCTGCAGGATCATATGGCCCCAAGAAGGAGCCCTGGGCTCCTGCAGACAAGCATGCACCATGTATACAAGCATGGCCATTAGAGCCATCTCTTGGCCCCGTACTTGCTTAATTAGTATTGTTCTTGGGCCAGAGAGATAGTTCAGCTGGTAGCATAGTATTTGCCTTGCATGTGGCCAGCCCTGGTTTCATTCTTTGAGCATTGTCAGGTATGGACCAATAGCCTCCTCCAGAAACCCCAGTTTTTTTTTTATTGGTTGGGGGCTGCCAAGTATCAATCCCTAGAACCTCATACATGTAAAGCTACACCACCACCACCACCAACGCCACCCCAACATCCCCAGTGATTGTTAGTGAACTGCTACTTTCAGAGTTGGTATTTTTCTTTACAAAGCTATATTGTATTAGAAGGAAAATCTTAACTTTGAGTTTTGAAATTATTCTTACTTTTAGGAAAGTTTCAGCATCTTGGACTCTGGAATTTATCGAGTCATTAGTAGAAGAGGCAGTCAATCCGATGAAGACTCTTGTTCGCTTCATAGCCAAACCCTCTCAGAAGATGAGAGGCTAAAAGAATTCACGTCACATCAAGAAGAGGACCATACTGAGCACAGTCACAACTCTCACAGAAATGAAGGTGACTGTAACTCACACTGATTGCTGATGAGAAGTAGTTAATTTTGTTTGCCATAATTATCTTATGCATAAAATTTTGTCTAAGAGGTAGACTTACAGGTTTGTATTTCATTGATTTGTTTTTCCTCTCATTGGTAAAGACTATAGACTAACATTGGTAAATGACCTAACTTTGATCATGCATCAGAATGATGGAAAGGTTAATAAGAAAGAAGGTCATTAACCTGAAGGGTGGAATGACTTTATTCTGACTAACCAAGTTATTTTTCATCAGGAATGAAAAATTACTGCAGTTTTGGGGGCCATTGCCTTCACTTTGTGATGTTCGCGTATTCCTGTGACTGAACTATTGAGAAGAGATTAATAGAGACTCTAGACTTCCTTTTTTGACTTTTGGGGATTCAGGGTTAGTAGGAAAATGAAGGTACTTGCCTTAGTGTCTTACCTGTGGACCATCCCATGCATCTTTGTGAACTTGTGTTCTGCTCATTTGTATCTGGCTCAGTTGTGATTTTTATATTGAATCCTTCATTTCCTTTGGTTTGTTCATTTCAGAATTTAAGAATTTGAAATAAAACTCTCCCGTGATTAGATTTTTGTTTTTTTTTTCCCGATTCCATTCATCAGACAGTGTTTCTCATACTCCAGTGACATGTGAGACAGATAAGAGTGAGACTGTCCTCCCCTTCGGCATCCCATTATCATTTCGTTCTCCATCTCCTCTTGTGTCTCTTCAGGCTGTCAAGGAAAGGTAAACCCATTGGTCTTATCATTTTAATGTCATTTCTTGTTTTTGTGTTGGGAAAGAAAAGATATTTTAAATAAAATAAAAAGGAAGTCTTTACTTCTCATACAGTCTGTGGTATGAAGTGGCTGACTTCTCGTTTTCTATCTTGAAGGATTTTCATCTTGAAAGATTAACTTCTGTCTTTGCCTGAGTTGCTAGATCCTTGAGTTAATAATACAGAAGTGCCTCCTTCCCCATCCCATTTTCTTCCATCACCAGCAACGTTTTAAAAGTCAGCTTCAGAGGCTAGAGTGAAAGTATAGCAGCGAAAACGCTTGCCTTGCAGATGCTCAACCCGTGTTTGATCACTGGTATCTCATGGTTCCCCAAGCACTGCCAGGAGTAATTCCTGAGTGCAGACATGGGAATAACCCCTGAGCATCGCCAGGTATGACCCAAATACTTAAAAAGAAAAAAAGGGGGGGCAGCTTTAGGGCACAGAGCAATTATACAGCTGGTAGGGCACCTGCCTTGCACACAGCTACCCAGGTTTGATATTCCTAGTACCCTACATGGCCCTTTCCTCAGCCCAGTCAGAAGTGATCCTGAGTGCAGAGCCAGGAGTAATCCCTAAGCGGATGTGGCACCAAAACAATAGCAAACCCTGCTTTGTCCTCTCACTGGTAGGAGCAGTTTTCATACATCATTAGTCAGTTCTTGACTCTCAGTTTGGATTCAGGATTTGAGTCTTTAAAAGTTTTTCTAGCTCTTCCATGACATCAGGATTGGCATTTTGGCATTTGAATTTAAGAGAGACTTTGGATAACTATTTATCTCGTGAATTTTACTGGATACAGATTTTTGTTGTTAAGACTATTGTGACTAGTGAGAAGTTGAGTTTTATGAAGAAATTCTTTGTTCTCTGGCCAGTTTGGGACTGGTAATTACCTGCTCTCCTTTGAAAACCTTTTCTCTCTTTCTTTCTTTGTTTTGAAGTCTTTTCTTTAGCACTGAATCAAGTTCAGTAGATGAGCTGAATCCTTACTGTATTGTTAATTTTTCATGGGCCTTATGTGAAATATGTTGATGGGGAAGTTGCTATAAGCAGTCTTTCTTTTCTTTTTTGTTAAGTTGTCTTCCTAGGACCAAGGAACACAGAATACTCAGCTTTTTTTTTTTTTAAATTCATGATTTTATTCTGATTGTTCCTCATTAATTTTTTGATACTTGACTTCCAGTGTTTCTAGCTTTGTGCGTAAGACTACTGAGAAGATTGGCACCCTTCACGCAGGCCCTGATCTGAAAGCACGAGCAGAATCCAGGGGTGATGAGCAGGCATGTGAAGAGGCTGTGAGTGCAGCCACCGAGCGAAGAACAGAAGTTACTGAGTAAGCCATTGCGCGTACATCTGTGTGAACTGGAGGTCCTGCAGCTGTCAGTTTGCAGAAAGCTGCTGACTGTGTCCTGTTGGAGAAGGTGCATTTGTAACTGTTTGGATTGTAGATCACGTAGCTTAGAAAAGAAAAGCGAGTCTCACTAATTAAGTGTTGGAAGATGACATCAGTTCATAACACATCTGTCAAGTTACCTCTTCCATTCCCTGCTGCCCCCATACAACTTGCCTCCCTTCCAGACGTGTTCATTGTTGCTTGAGACATTGAAGAAGCAGTGGGTGAATAATAGGACTCCCAGGGTCTTGACCTTGAATCTGCTTTGTCATGTGACTTGGATAAGTCACTAATGTTCGCTGGCCTCTACAATGAGAATCTTTTCATGGACTGTCCTGTGATACACTGGAAGCTTATTCTTTTTTTTTTTCCCTTTTTTTGTAGGAGTACTGCTATTTATTCAGCCACTGATTAGCTGATTAAATTGTGCATGAACTCCACCTTACTTTTTTTTTTCTTTTTCCATTTTTTATAATTTTATTTATTGAATCACCGTGAGAGCAGTTACAAAGCTTTTGGGTCTAAGTCTCAGTCATACAATGAAACATCCGTACCTTCACCAGTACCCATTCTCCACCACCAAAAATCCCAGTATACCCCCATCCCACACCCTCCCCCTGCCTGTGGGGCAGATGATTTCTACATTACTCTCTCTCTACTTTGATCACATTCACTATTTCGACACCAGACCCACCATTATTTAAGATTTTACCCCAACACTCAGTAAAAGTAAAAGTAAAGGCCCTCCCATTGATCATTGATTTGCTCGAGCAGGCCCAGTAACGTCTCCATTGGAGATTTTGTTGTTACTGTGTTTGGCATATCGAATACGTCACGGGGAGCTTGCCAGGCTCTGCCGTGCGGGCAAGATACTCTCGGTAGCTTCCCGGGCTCTCCGAGAGGGGCGGAGGAATCGAACTCGGGTCGATGCAAGGCAAACGCCCTACCGCTGTGCTATCGCTCCAGCCCCAGCATCTCCACCCCAACACTCAGATCTGCTGAAAAGGCAACAATAGACAATTTGTGTTCTATTGCTGGTTATGAATAACATATGATGTCGTGTGGCTGCAGTAGGGCCTTGTGGTTTTGAAATTCTGAAGTTTTAACACTTAAATCTGGAGGGATTTCTGCCAAAAGCCACTGGGTTTAGAGATCTGCTCCTGAGTCTCTGGGATCATGGCCATTGAGCAGCTAGATGAGGAGCCAAAGAGGCCATTCGTGGGCGATGACTTGGGGTCTCATTGGGGTGGGGAAGACAGGCCCGGCTCCACCTCCCCCCCCCATCCCGTGAGACCCAACAAGTTTCGTCACTGCGGGCCCAAGCCTGACTGTCCAATGGCCTCTGGAGGATGACAGCCACCAAGTCGCCAAGAGGGAGCAGGCGGAGGGACAGCACCCAATCCCCCCTGGGGTGGCCCGGCGACAGTAACCTACTGCGGGGTCCGGACACATTTCTGCCAAAAGCCGCTGGGTTTCGAGATTTGTTTCTGAGTCTCTGGGATCAAGGCCGTTGAGCAGCTTGATGAGGAGCCAGAGAGGCCATTTGTGGGCGATGACTTGGGGTCTCGTTAGGGTGTGGAGGACAGGCCCGGCTCCACCTCCCCCCTCCCATACCGTGAGACCCAACAAGTTTCATCACTGCAGGCCCAAGCCTGACTGTCCAATGGCCTCTGGAGGATGACAGCCACCAAGTTGCCAAGAGGGAGCAGGCGGAGGGACAACACCCTTTCCTCCCTGGGGTGGCCCGGCGACAGTAACGTACTGTGGAGTCTGGATGCACTTCTGCCAAACGCCACTGGGTTTTGAGATTTGTTTCTGAGTCTCTGGGATCATGGCCGTTAAGCAGCTTGATCAGGAGCCAGAGAGGCCATTCGTGGGCGATGACTTGGGGTCTCGTTGGGGTGGGGAGGACAAGCCCGGCTCCACCCCCATCCCGTGAGGCCCTGTGTGTCTCGTCACTGGGGGCCCAAATGTGACTATCCAGTGGCCTCAGACGGATGGCGGCCACTGGGCCGCCAGGGGGAATAGGCCAAGGCACAAAACCTATTCCCACCTGGGTTGGCCCAGCACCGGTAGCCTACTGCAGAGACCAGACGCATTTCTACCTAAAGCCACTGGGTTCTGAGATTCGTTTCTGAGTCTCTGGGATCATGTCCATTAAGCAGTTCAATCAGGAACCAAAGAGGCCTTGCCTCCAATTATATAGCTGAGCCGGAGGTGGTTTGTGGGTGTGTTTCCCACATACCTAACTTTTGGCCATTTACTTTCTTGGTAAACTTTACCCCAAGTTTTTGGGGTCTGGCCAAAGGCACAGCAGCAATTTTTGGGGTATCTGGAAGTCTGAAGGTGCCATGAGGCTGCTGATGCACTCGCCTCACAGGTACAGATTGACCTGCTGGCGGCACCATACCCCCGTGGAAGCTTATTCTTAATTTAATAGAATTGTAATAGAGCCCTGGATTTGGCGTAGACAAATTATCTTCTCCTTTTGGTCTCTGTCTTACCTCCTTATTCAGGGGATCGGAGCGTTAGAGGCAAGTAATCATAGCTCTCACCCACGAATTAAGAGAACCGTAGACCCAGTGTAACTGGATAGTTGGGTGAAATAGAATTATCCTCCAAATAATTAACTGAATCTATATTTTGTTTCATTTAGAGGTTTCACCACTTGTGCTCAGGGGCTATTCCCAGCTCAGTGCTCAGGGGTTACTCCTGGCAGTTTGGGGGACCCTATGTTATGCCAGGGATTTTAACTGGGGTTATTTGTATGCAAAGCAAACATCTTAACCTCTGTACTATGTCTCGCAAATCCATTGTTTTTATAGGGGGAAAAATAAAGATATTTCTATAGCATTCAAAGTGGCTTTCAGGGGCCAGAGAGATAGTACAGCAGGTAAGGTACTTGCCTTGTAGGCCATCGACTTGACCTAGGTTCAAGTCACTATACCCCATATGGCGTCCCAGTACCTCTAGGGGTAATTCCTGAGTGCAGAGCCAGAAGTAACCCCTGAGCATCGCCAGGTGTGGCCCCAAAACCAAAACGAAGGAAGCAAACAAAGCAAGCAAGTTTTCAGGAATAGGGCACTTGCTTTGCCCACAACCAGTCATGGTTCAGTCCCCAGCACCACATTCCCCCACCCTCGGTGGTAGTGATCCCTGAACACTGCTGGGCACGGCCCAAAAACTGGAGGGAAAAGAGAAAAGCTTCAGTTTGACCTTAGCACACCTCAACCATATTCTTATTAGCACGAAAGTTTCATCCTGCCAGAGAACTGGCCACCTACTCTTTTACTTCACATCCTTTCTTCTTCCTATAGTGATTTACTGTCCCCCATTTTTCCTAATACCAATAAAACTGCCTTGGGAAAGCTTCCCTTGATTGTATCGTTATGATAGTTACTGCTTTGTCTATGCTTTCATAGCAAAATATTTGTACTACTTTTTCTGTATTCCTTTTATTGTCTTATATTCTAGTTATTTGCAAGTGTTTTTTTCTAGACCTTTACATTTTGGGTTTTTTGTTTGTTCATTTATTTTGTTCATTTTGGTGTCACTCTTGGGCAGGGCTTTGGGGACTGTGTGGGATACTGGGACTGTGTTGGCAAAAAGCAAGACAGTCATCCTACCTGATGGACTAGCACTTGACCTTTATACTCATCTGTTTTTCTTACCTAAATTAAGTATAATATTACTTAATTTAAATTAAGTAATTACTAACTTGAACTTAGTAAGGGCTTGGAATTATTAACAAAGGACTGGTTCTCGCCACATTTTTCTAGGGAAAAAAAAGAAGCAACTAGTCAACCGTTAGAAGACAAATTCCAAGATCTTAAAAGAGCAACAGCAGAAGCAATGTGAGTATTTCTGAATGAGAAGAATTTGTGAATATTGGGAATGACTTTGAAATCAGCAGTAGTTGGGAGCTGGAGAGATAGCACAGTGGGTAGGGCATTTGCCTTGCACGTGGCCAACCTGGATTGGATTCCCAGCATCCCATATGGTTCCCTGCGCACCGCCAGGAGTAACTTCTGAGTGAAGAGCCAGGAGTAACTCCTGTGCATTGCTTGGTGTGACCCAAAAACCAGGAAAAAAAAAATAAGAAATCAGCAGTAGTGGTCCTTAGACACTGGGACGTGGATAGTTTTATTTGGAAATTTTTGTTCCTGAATTTTTTTTTTTTTTACGGAGCTGTAGAGATAGCAAATAGAATAGGACAAATAGAATAGGGCATTTGCCTTGGATACCTGACCTGGATTCAGTCTCCGGCATACTGTATGCCCCCTAAGTACCATCAGGAATATTTCCTGAGTGCAGAGCCAAGAGTGACCTCCCCAAAAAGTTCTCTTAAAAAAATTTTTATTTTTCTATATTGCTGAGATCATTTTTGTGTAAAAAATTAGAGACTGGGGGTATAGTTCAGTGCCTAGAAGGTATCGCTAGGTTTGATCTTGGGACCTCCTAAAAGAGGAAGGGGACTAGAAGAGAAAGGGGAACAGTAACATTTATTCCAGATAAGTATTCCTTAGATTCACTTAGCGTGAAATAATTTGTTGTTGTTTTTGTTTTTTTTGTTTTACATATAAAATGAATATTTATTGGGTTTTTTGGACTATACCCAGTGGTTCTCAGGGCTTATTCCTTACTCTGAACTTAGGGATTACTTCTGGTGAGTTCAGGGAACCATATGGAGTGCCAGAGATCGAACCCAGTTTGGCTGCGTGCAAGGCAAACTCCTTGTACTATCACTTCAACTCCATAAAACATAAATTTTGTGGTTATCTTTTATGTAGGACCAAGCTACAGGACCCACTGGTTTTGTTTGAACCTCTGCCTCGGAGAATGGTGTTGCAGAAATGGCTTTCTGAGTTAGAAAAAGCATTTGCTATGAAGGACTCCTCAGATATTTTGGATACTGGTAACTCATCGTTGAAGCTGAAACAGGATATGCCATTGCTTGATGAGTCAAAACCTGGAGTTTTAGATGAAGCTAATGGGGAAGAAGAAAGGGACTCTTCAAGTGTTGAGGACACTGTTATGCAAACCTCGTGTGAATCTGAAAAAGGCAAAAGGGACCCTGGAGGCAATGAAGATGCTGTTCATGAAAACACAAGTGAATCTAATGATAGTGTGAGCGAGCCCGTGGTTGACCTTTTTCAAATACGTTCTCCATGCGTCATAGAGAACAGTCTTCAGAAGGAACTGGCTGAATTGACCACATTGTGCTTGGAATTAAACATACTGAAGTCTGAGATCACAAACACCAGCGGGCACAAGGACAACACTTCGCCACAGTGCTTTCCTGAACTTCTGCCTTGTCAGTTCCTAAAGAAGTACTTCTTTCTTCTCGACTTGAAAAGAGCAAAGGAGAGCATCAAGCTTAGTTACCCCAACAGTCCTGGTGTTTGGGGCACTTTTATTGATGGATTGAAAGGTACCAATATATTTTGACACAAGTAGTTTAACTCGGTGATCACTTTATTTTGAGGTGGGGAGAGGAGGTAGGTCACATCTAGCAGTGCTTAGGATTGACTCCTGGTTCTGCACTTAAGAATCACTCTTGGTGGTATTTGGAAACCATGTGCAATGCCTGAGATCGAACCTGGCTTGGCCATGTACAAACCAAGCACCCTACCCACTGTAATATCACTACACTATCACTGTACTTTCAGCTGTATGAACGCTTTATCACACTTCAAATAAGTTGGTGGGACTGAAGACATAGTACAGTGGGCCGGGTGCTCACCCTGCTCCCTACCAACCCGGGTTTGTGCCCTAGCACCCCATCTGCTCCCCTGAGCCACAGAGCCAGGTGAAACCCTTGAGCATCACCAGGTATGACCCAATTAAATATCTTTGTTATTCCATGAAGACTAATCTTCGGAGAAAGATTTGCTGTCACTGATACCGTTTCAAATAATAGTTCACATATTTTTAGCTTACTTAAATTAAATTTTGTTCCAAAAGATCAGTTTAGGTCAGTGGTTCTAGAATTTAAAAAAGAAAAAAAGACTGATGAGGAATTTGACTTTGATGGCCACTTATATAAATTTTCCTGGTGCTAATTTTTTCAAGTCACTTAAGTGACAATAATGTCTTTTTCTTTGTCATAAAATACCAGTATGTTTTGCCTCACAGTTTGGTTTTAATATTTGGTATTTTACTCTTTTCATCTCTCTTACTATAAATGATTAACATTATTTATAATGCTTAATAAACATTTAATCTTACTACACAGTAGTTACCTCACTAAAAACATGTTTGTGGGGGCGGGAGAGGTAGTACAGTGGGTAGAGCACTTGCGCACACAGCCAATCCATGTTCAGTCCTTGGCACTGCACGTGGTTCTCGTGAGTTCTCCTGGATTGATCCCTGAGTGCAGATCCAGGAGTAAGTACTGAGCACCACTGAGTGTGGCCCCAAAACAAACAGAAAAATGTGTTCGTGAGTTAAGTATTTACAGTGTGAGATTAAGGGAACAAGATCTGCTTTATTTTTCAGAAATGGCACGTTCCAATTCTACCTATTTGAAGTTAGAAGAAGGAGACCTCCCAACACAAATAAAATTATTAGAGGACTCAGTACCTTTTGATAGTCCTTTGTTGATTGCTTATGCTGCCAGGTAAGTTGTCTTAGATTGTTGCACTTGAATTTTTTAAGCACTTCAATTTTTAAAATTCTTTTAAGTATTATTTTATGTTGGGCAGCTTCTTTTTTTTATTTTTATTTGCTTATTTATTTATTTATTTTTGGTTTGGTTTTTGGGCCCATATTTTGTGATGCTTAGGGGTTACTCTTGGCTTTGCATTCAGAAATTACTCCTGGTGTTCGGGGAACCATATGGGATGCCAGGGATCAAACCCTGTCGGCCACATACAGGCAAGCACCCTACCTGGGCAGCTTCTTGGTATATTTCATTCTATTTCTGGTATGTACTTAAATTGTGTAACCACGTTGTCTCGCTAAAATTGGAAACATGTTTTGTTCTAAATGCAGATTGTATGAGAAGTTTGGGGAATCTGCCCTTCGATCCTTAATTCAGTTTTATCCATCCATTTTGCCCTCGGATATCATGCAGCTTTGTCATCATCATCCTGCCCAGTTTTTGGCCTATTTAGACAGTCTGGTGAAATCAAGGCCTGAAGATCAGCGGTAAGAAGGAGAGAATGTTCACAGAGTTTCTGGGGTCCTGATGGGTAATACAGCAGGCAGGGCACTTGCCTTGCATGCGGCTGACCTGAGTACAATCCCTGGCACCCCACATGATCCCCTGAGCACCGTCGGGTGTGACCCAAAAGGGAAAAAGAAAAAAATTCTTACATAAACCAACCATTTTTTCCTGTGTGCTGTCATAGGATTGAGAGACCTCCCATGAAAGCGGAGGATGTTCATTCATGGTACTTGGCACACTTTCCAGAGCTGCCCGTCCCCCCCACACACACACACACACTCACACACATCTTTGCTGCTGGGGCTGTGCTGAGTGGGGTGGGTCCCATGCCCTTTGGTTATTCAATCAGGCAGACAATCCCTCTTTGATACCCTTTTGCTGTTTCCCCCTCCCCCTTCCTTTGGTGGTGGTTTTCATGATGACAGGGATGGACTGGGATTGGCGGGGCAGGGGGGGGGGAGGGAATGTGCATATGTACTTGATGTGGTGCTTCACTTGTGAGGCTGTGGTGTGCTGGGGTTCATATAACTTGATGGCGGTGCCCAGCGTCTGCAGCAGCGGATATCCTGGAATCACACTTAGCCTGTGGAGCTGCACTGGGACTCACACCTGCATGGCAAACATGTGCCAAACTTTGACCAAATGTATAGAAGAGTGCTCAGGAGAGTACTCTTCCCTTGTCATATTTTTATTTCTCTTTTTCCCCTCTGATGTTCTCCTTATTATCTGGAGGTTCAACTGTTTAAAAGACAGTTAGATTTTTGGCAGTACACCTAGACGTTGTGTTTACTTTTGTTTTGGGAGCAACCCCATGGTGCTCAGGGGTCACTCCTGGCTCTGTGTTCAGGGGTCATTTTTCTAGGCTCGAGGGAACATAAAAAGTTCCATTTGCCAGGGATTGAACCCAGATGGTCTGAATGCAAGGTAGGTGCCCTGCCCACTGTACTATCACTGCAGCCCAACTCCTGGAGAGCTTGTAGTTGCAAGGGCGTGGCGTGTTTTATTCATTCACTGTACTGAGTCTTTATAAACATTGTCTTCACATCTCCGCATTTTTATCTCTTTCTCAGAATCAAAATGGTGAATTTTCCCCCTCCGTTCTCTTAGGCTTTCCTTCCTTGAGTCTCTTCTCCAACCAGAGTCTTTAAGATTGGATTGGCTGCTTCTTGCTGTTTCCCATGATGCTCCACCAAGCACCAGCACTATGGATGATGAAGGAAACCCCAGGTATAGAGGCAATCCACTTTCGAACACACGTTTTCCCATAGAGCATTCTGGGTTTTATTTTCAGGAACAGCCATGGAGGAGATTGATCTATTCAGGCATGATGCAATTGAAAACATGACTTTGTGTGGTTTGAGGTTTTTTTGTTTGTTTGTTTGTTTTTAATGGTTCTAAGTAGGAATGAGATAATAAGATGTCGCGCCGTGTAATCCCATCAGCGGCCAAGACTCAGAGACTATAAAATCCAGATCCCGGAACCGCGCGGCCGCATTCGCGGCCGCGCGACATCTTATTATCTCATTCCTACTTGGACAAACTTGCAGGCTATCGAATGTAGCCTGCCCACAGGGCAGAGTCTGGCAAACTCCCCGTGGCCTACCAAATATGCCAAATACCAGTAACAATGATGGGTCTCATTCTCCTAAAGAGCCGTGAATATAATCTCAGGGCTAGGATGAAAGAGACGTTACTGGGGCCTGCTCGAGGCAATCGACGATTAACAGGATGATGAAATGAAATGAAATGAAAAATGGTTCTAAACACTTTTTTTGAGCCACAGCCTTGTGCAAATATGATGATTTTTCTTAGAGAATTATACATTTGGTCAAAGTTTGGCACATGTTTTCAGAGAATTGAACTGATTCCCTGAGGCTTTTTTTTTCTGGAGAGGAAGAACAGTGTGGAGTATGTCTGTGCCTTTCTCGGTATTGCTGTGGGAGTTCTAGTTCTGTTTAGGTCTACTAAATCAGTATTTAGTTGTTGTTTTCCTTTGTTTGTTTGTTTTAGGGCCACAGCTCAGGATTAACTCCTGATTCTGCATGCAGGAATTACTTTTGGCATTACTCAGGAACCTTTATGGAATCAAGCCTGGATTGGCTTCAAGTCAAGTTCCCTATCTGCTATACTATTGCTCAGGCCTCCAGGGGAGAGGCTTTTTATTGATTGATTGATTTTGGGTTTGAGGCCATACCTGGAGATGCTCCAGGTATACTCCTGGCTCTACACTCAGGAATCACTCCTGTCATTGTTCACAGGACCACCCGGGATGCTGGGGATTGTACCCAGGTTGGCCCAGCCCACACGTAAGGCACTGCCTGCTTCACTCTCTTCCATTCCCTGGAGAGGCTTTTTAAAGGCCCCTCAAATGCTTATTTCTTCCTTAGACAGGAGATTGTGAAAGGTTCACAATGACTGACTGTGACTGATGGAATAATGGGTGATGGAATAATCCGTTTATGTTTTGTTTTGCTTTGGGGCCACAGTTGGTGGTGCTCAGGGGTTATCCTGCCTCTGCACACAGGAATCATTCCTGGTGGGAGTTGGGACCATATGGATGCCAGGGATCGAACCCCACGTGCAAGTCAAATGCTCTATCTGTTGACTGTCTGGCCCCTGGCTTCTCTTTCTCTTAGGATTACCTGAACTAAAATGCTTGGGTTATGTCTTGATATTGTTTAATGAAATGGTGCTTGATATTGGAAAAATAGCTGTGTTTAATTTCTTATTATTAAGTGATATTTAGAGGTCAGGGAGATAGCTCAAAATGCTGGAGGGCCTGCCCAGTTGATCTTTGTTACCCCAAGGCCCCTAAATTTCACCAGTTGCCACCCTGGAGATCTCTTACCACCTCCAGGGTGGCCTGGTGACCCCAGGCTCCTCTGGGCCTGACAGCTCTTCCTGAGAGCTGGGAGGATCAGTGGGAGTAGCTCTTAGTACGCCGAGCAGTTCTTGGGAGACCGCCTCCACCCCACCCCCAAGAAAGCATGGAAAGTATAATACTTGTAAAGTATAATAACAATAGAACTAATATAATTAAACTCTATTAGATGACTTATAAGCGTTTTATAGAATTGATTTCCTATATGATTTACCTAGAGTGTTTTATTTTTGCAGGCCTTATTCACATTTGTTTTCCTGGAATTACAGTCAGCTAATTCTTCATCTGGTTAAACTTCCTGCAGATTTTGCAACCAAAGAGAAAATGACTGATATCTGTAGGTCTCATGGGTAAGTGAGAATTTCCTTACAAAATCCGAAGTTATGATTAGAGGCATTTCTTCCTGTAACTTTGCAGTTGAGGACTTGGACTGAAATGGTCTATCACTCGGGAATTCTCTTTCCTATATGACGTAATTTTTGTTTTAAGTAATCCTGTAGAGACTTCTCTTACACTTTTTTTATTGTTTTTCGTACCACACCTTGCAGTGCTCAGGGATCACTACTGGTAGTTCTTCGGGGACCAATTGTGATGCCAGGGATGGAACCAAGGTCGACTGCAGGCAAGCACCTTAATCCCTGTGCTATTTCTGCAGCTCTTCTTTCACATTTTGTTGATAATTTTGCTTTGTGCAGAAGAGACTAGCCCTTGATAGTCCTCTCTTCTTTATCTGCTAGGTTGCTCACCCCAGTTGTGAAGTATACAGATAGCATTTAATTAAGCACCAAATTAAGCACCGGACTGTGATGTGAGGGGTCGGCAAGATAATACAGTGGGTAAGGTGCTTGCCTTGCAGGTGGCTGACGTAGATTTGATTCCCAGCACTGTATATGGTTTCCTTGTAGCATCGCTAGTTTTGGTCCCAAACCAGAAAGTGACTTTTTCATTTTTCTTTCCATTTAGTTAATTTAAATTTAAATACCAGTATAGTCACTATCTACTGTATCGATCCAAAAAAGCTCCAGATAAATTCATTATCTTTTGCCCTTTTCTCCAACTTTGGTCTCTTCCAAGTTTCTGGCCTGGATATCTGACTCTGTGTTTGGAGCTGGAGAGAAGAAGAGAGGCCTTTGCCACCATTGTGTATCTGAATGACATGGGCCTGATGGAAGGGGACAAAGGTACGTGAGTCCAGGCTGATTACTCTGGCGCTGATTCAGAAGTCACACCAGACGTCCCAGTCAAGAAATTCGGTGTTTCGGTGATCCTGAGTATCATTCTAGCAAGGTGTCGAATTTATGGAGTCCTTTCTTTCTATCTGGACCACTTACTTGGTATAATAACAAACCATAATGAGGCAATAAAATCCTCCAGCTTCAGACAGCTTTTAATTTAGACTATTTAGTCTATTCTGTGTTAGGGACTTTCCTCAGGGCTGGTAAGTGAGGTATCAACTGCTTGAATGGTTACTACTTCCGTGTTACAGAAGTTAAAATTGTGGCCCAAGGAAAGATGATGAGTATCCCTAAAGTTTCACGGCTGCTTAAGGTTGGAGCTTATCCCAGGGCTACTTGAAAACATGCTCAAGTCCTCTCCTCTACATCATGCCACCCTTCAATGCAGACAGAATCTTTGTGTGAGATGGAAATGTCATGGTGTTTTCCCTAAGCCTTCTGAAATACATAGATGCTTTAGTATTTGTTTTTTGGGTCACACCTGATGATGCTTAGAGTTTACTCCTGACAGTGCTCTTTGGACCATTTAGGACACCGGGGGTTGAACCTGGGTTGGCTGCTTGCAAAGCAAGTGTCTTACCTGCTGTAATATCTCTCCAGCCCCTCTTTAAAATATTTTCAATGCTCATCAATTCAGCACTGATAAAATGATAATTAGCAGTTCAGGACTTGGATACACTGATTTTTTATTTTGTTTCTTTGTTTCGTCTTGGTTTGGGACTGTACCCAACAGTGTTCATGGGTTATTCCTGGCTCTGAACCCAGGAATCACTCCTGATGGGTTCAGAGGACCGTCTGGGATGCCAGGGATTAAATCCCAGTCTGTGCATGCAAGGCAAGTATCCTACCCTCTGTTCTGTTGCTCCAACCCCATGATTTTTTTTTCAAATGGGCGCTGGGGGTTGCACCCAGGACCTGACACATTTGAGGTGAGTGCTTCTGCTCTGAGCCACATCCCTGGTATCTGAAGTCAGGATGTCCTGCGCTCAGAGATGATATCAGACTCTTCTAGTGTTGTTTTTCCATCTCAGTGCAAGGCTGCCAAGAGTGTGGGCTCAGGCTTTGTCAGCCAGTTTCATGTCCCACACCCTTTTCAGCCCTGTTGGCAAGGGAGGAGCAGAGCAGTGCTCAGTTGTAGCAGTAGTTGCTGAGATCCTCTTTGTGTCAGAATTGAAACGAGAAGATGGTTTTGTAAGACTAGAATTAAATGCATACATTCACTTCCCCAAAATGAACCAGAAGAGTTCAGGTCTGTTTTTGTTATTATAGACATTCATTCACTTCTGAGAAGCTATCCAGAAGAGTTCAGATATGTTTCTGTTGTTTTTAAAATTACAAGAGAGGGTCTGGAGAGATAGTTACAGCGATTGGGCGTTTGCTTTGCACAAGGCTGATCCTGGTACTCTGACCTACACTAGGAGTGACCCCTGAGCACATAGCCAGGAGCAAACCCTGAGCACTGCTAGGTAAGGCCCCAAAATAAAATGTCACTTCCCTGTAGCATCTTCCTCTGCTTTTCCATAAAACTCTCCCTTAGAGCCCCTTGATCTTGCCTTTTGTAGCTCCATGCAGTTTATAAATACAGATTTGCTTCTCTGTTTGAGGTTCTGTCCTCCACATGAGTGCAGGAGTCACCAGATCTGTTGGTTCCTCATCACATATCCATTACCTCTCCCCGAGTAATTACCTACTGCAGTATAGAATGACTCTCCCCGAGTAATTACCTATTGCAGTATAGAATGGGAGATTTTTTTTTTTTTCGTTTTGGGTTACACCCAGCAATGCACAGGGATTATTCCTGACTCATGCACTCAGGAATTGCTCCTGGTGGTGTTCGGGGGACCACATGGGATGCTGGGAATCGAACCCGGGTTAGCTGCATGCAAGTCAAATGCCCTACCTGCTGTGATCGCTCCAGCCCTTCAAATGGGAGAATTTTAAAGCTGTTTTTGTGGCTTCTTCTGATCATGTACGATTTATTCCACAGTGTTCAGAAAACAGCTTTGTGGCAGGGTGGTGTTCTGCCCTTCAGTAGTTTTGTGTTTGGGGATTAAACTCCATTTGTGGCAGCGTGCTTCAAGCAGTCAGATGTTGTTTCTGTCTGTCTCTGTAGGTTGGATTCCAGAGACTGTGGAGGAATGGAGGCTGCTTTTGCATCTGGTACAGAGCAAGAGCACAGCGGCAGCCCCCCAGAAGTCACCGAATGGGATCTTTGGAGATGGGCCTTCTCCCATCAACGTGGAAAATGTGGCACTTCTGTTAGCAAAGGCCATGGGCCCGGATCAGGCCTGCTCACTGCTGCAGGAGTGCAGTCTGACCCATGCTCTGTCAGAGAAGTTTACCAGAACCTGTGCTATCCTGAGGATTGCTGAGAAAAGGCAGAGGTGATACTTGTCTGTCATGCGCTTACAGTGCCGTGTCCCGGAGTGCTTGGGAATGTAGAACCTTACAGATCTTTAGAGATGGCAAGGCTGTTGATTAAAGGGCTTAGGAAGAGAATATGGGGCTGGAGCTCTAGTTCCGTGGGTAGGGCTCTTGGCTTGCACGCAGCCAATCCAGGTTCAAGTCCCGGCATTCTGTATGATCCCCTGAGCACTTCCAGGAGTGATTCCTGGGTGCAGAACCAGGAGTCAGCCCAAAATCAAAAAAGAAAAGGAAGAGGCTAACAGTCATGTTATGAAAAGGAAGAGGCTAACAGTTCAGTCATGACCAAGACATTGTTTAGATTCAGCCCCACAGCCGACCTCCACTACCCAACCGCCGCCATGCTCCAGTCCACTTTCCACACACTCGGGCCGAGCCTCACTCATGAGTGAACATATTCCTGGACTGCGCATCTGCTTTCACACAACACATCGTAAGACACTCCCTACCCATTTGATGGAGTTCAGACAGTAGGCAGCAAATCATAGAGGGGAAAATATATATATATACATATATACATATATATATATATATATATATATATGCCTCTTGGAGTGCATAACAAGCTACCCGTGGCGTATTCGATATGACAAAAACAGTAACAATAACGGGTCTCATTCCCCTGACCCTGAAAGAGCCTCCAGTACAGCAGCGTTGGGAAAGACGAGTAAGGAGAGGCTGCTAAAATCTCAGGGCTGGGACGAATGGAGACATTACTGGTGCCCGCTTGAGTAAATCAATGAACAGTGGGATGACAGAGATACAGTGATACCAAAATCTGATATGATTTGACTCTTTAAGACTGTTACTGGGAGAATGAGAGACAGTACAGGGCTAAGGTGCTTGCCTTACGTATGGCAGACCTCGTATGGCAGACCTCAGTTTGATCCCAAGCACTACTGGGTGCATCTCGCCAGGATCAGAGGATCAGTACAGGAAGTAGCTACTGAGCACTTCTGGGTGTGCTCGCCACCCCTGCCCTGAAAAAAAAAAAAGTTATTGGGGACCAGAGACAGCTCTGGAGGATGAGTGCATGCTTTGTATGTAGGTCCTGTTTGATTCCTGGAACCTCATGGTTCCCTCTCCCCATCCCCAGAGCACTGGTATAAGTGATCCACATGTACCAAGCTAGGTATAGACCCAGAGCAACACTGGGTGTGACCAAAAGCAAATATCACAAAAAAGAATGCCCTTGCTACCAGGGCCAGAGATAGCTCAGCAGGCTAGAATGCATGCTTGCCTCTAGGAGGCCTGGATTTGATCTCTAGCACTACACAGTCCGCCAAGCACTAATCTGATAGTAGCACTGAGCAGTCTTGGGGTGGCCAGAAAAAACAAAAGACTGTTCTTCTGTTACCAGATAGCTAATTGTCTCAGTCAGACTTTTTTTTATTTTACTGCGGTACAATAGCACTGTAGCACTGTCCTCACATTTATCGATCTGCTTGAGCAGGCACCAGTAACGTCTCCTTTGTGAGACTTCTTGTTACTGTTTTTGGCATATTGAATACACCACGGAGAGCTTTCCAGGCTCTGCCGTGCAGGCAGGATACTCTCAATAGCTTGCCGGGCTCTCCAAGAGGGGCGGAGGAATCAAACCCGGGTCAGCCGCGTACAAGGCAGACACCCTACTCAATGTACTATTGCTCCAGCCCACTGTGGTAAAATGCTGATAGCAAAATCAACCGTCTTAACCACAGCCAGTTTCAAACCTTTACATTTTGAAGAACTAAAACTTTTTTGGGGGGGAGAGGGGTCATGCCTGGCAGTGCTCAGGGCCAGTACACTCAGGAATTACTCCTGGAGGTGCTCAAGGACCATATTGGATGCCAAGGATCGAACCCGGGTCAGCGCTGCCCCACCTGCTGGACTATCGCTCCAGCCTCTGAGCCTTTTTATTTATTTATTTATTTATTTTTAAAATTTTTATTAGTGATTCACCATGAGGTACAGTTGTAGACTTCCATATTTTGTGCTTGGGTTTCAATTATACAATGATCAAATACCCATCCCTCCACCAGTGTCCATTTCCCACCACCACGGATCCCAGTATCCCTCCTACCCCCCACCCCCCCCATCCCACCCTGCCTCTGTGGCAGGGCATTCCCCTCTGTTCTCCTCTGAGACTTCTTAATTCATTCTTCTCTCCCCTTCAACAAAACTGAAGCTTTTTACCCGTTAAACAGTAATTTTTAGTTTTCTCTTCCAAATAGCCCCCTCAGAACACAATTCTACTGATAAGGGATTCCAGGGATTGAACCCTGCTCAGCGGCATGCAAGGCAAGCTCCCCACCCACTGTACCATCTTTCTGAGCCCTTATTTGTTTTGGGTCATACGAGTTCTTTATATATCCTGGATACAAACCCTTTATCAAATATAATCTGCAGATATTTTCTCCTATTCTGTAGGACAGAATTCCTTTCCCATAGGATGCCTTTTCACTCTCTTGATTATGTTTTTTGTTTGTTTGTCTTTGCTGCCACACCTGTTGATGCCCAGGGGTTATTCCTGGATCTGCACACAGGAATTATTCCTGTCAGTGCTTTGGGACCAAATGGGATGGGATCAAACTCAGGTTGGCTGCATGCAGGGTGAACACTTTACTTGATATATTAAAACTCCAGCCTCTGTTGCCCCCATCTTTCTTTCTTTAAGTTTTTCAGCCACACCTGGCTTTTCTCAGGCCTACTCCTGACCCTGCACTCGGGGATCATTCCTGGCAGGGCTTGGGGAATCTATATGAGGTGCTCGGAATAGAACCTGGGTTGACCATGCGCACAGCAAGGACCCTACCCTTTATATTATCTCGCCCTTGATTGTGTTTTTTAAATGCACAGAATCAGTCGGTTTTTTAAATTCCTCATAGGCTTTTAGTTTGTTTGGTTTTATTTGGGGAGGAGAGCCTCCCAAGCAGTGGTCAGGGGCCACCAGGGCTAAGCCCAGCCTTGCCTGGGCCTCATGTGGTACTGGGGGTCAAACTTGCCAGACATGCACTCTTGCCCTTTGAGCTGTCCTCCCAGCCCTGTGTGTTAAGGTTTTTGTAAAGGATGAACAATGAAAAGTAAATGTGTGTCTTTCTTTTCTTTGGGATTTCAGAGCCTTATTACAAAGCATGCTTGAAAAATGTGATCGGTTTCTCTGGTCGCAGCAGGCCTAAGTGGAAGAAGATTCAACAGTCATCATTATATTTTGAGAGAAAATGAACCCTGCTCCTGAACCTGCTGAATGTTTTTGTTATTGAAGGGCAGGGACCACCACCCTACCTCCTCTGGGGAGTACTTTTTGAGTAGCCCTATGCCATCTGACAGTATTTCTCAACCAAAGATGAGTTGTGGAAGGAAATTCATTGCTGAAGTGGAATCAGAATGTGAAGAGTCATAGTGCCGCAGCCTGTCTCTCAACTACAGTATCTCTTGCCCCTTTCTGGTGGAGTGGGGAAATTCTCTCCATTTTCTAATGACCATTCAGGGAGCAGAAGTTTCTCATCCTGGTCTCATGAAGACAAAATATAATTTACAGGACTTGATCTTTACATGTTGTGTGAGAATGTTGCAAAACTACTGAGATAGGACCTGGTGTCATGGAATTGACACACAAAACAAGTGAAATGGTGAAGGTTCAAATGAGATGATTTAAGTCAGATCGCTTCTTATGAACTCATGTTTAATATTTTCCCGGTATTTTTCCTCTTCTAATTTGAACCTCTGTACAGCTAACTTATTCCTACCAATGTTTTATCTCTAATCTTTCCTAAACAAAATCTCCCAAAGGAATCATGCACTTTTTAAATATTATTTTTTAAAAGCCATAATAAAGGAAAGCTGAATTCTACTAAAGACTGCAACAGTGCTTATTTATTTATTTACTTATTACTTATTTATTTAGCCTTTTTGGGTCACACCTAGGATGCTCAGGGGTTACTCCTGCCTCTGCACTCATGAATTACTCCTGGCAGTTCTGGGGGGACCATATGGGAAGCCGGAGATCAAACCTGGGTCAGCCTCGTACAAGGCAAACACCCTACCCACTATGCTATCACTCCGGCCCCTCTTTAAGCTTCTTATACCTATGGACTGGCACCTGTTTGCATCCCAGTCTCTGAAGTTAGAACCTAGGTAAAAGGCAGACCAATGATCTGCAGCTTTCTATACCAGTGGACCTGGGGCTGAAAATTACTGACTGACTTAAACCTTGTACTGGATTGAGGGGCTGGAGTGACAGTACAGCGGGTAGTGCATTTTCCTTATACCCAGCAGAGAGGTCTGCATTTGATCCCTGGAGTCACATATGGTCCCATGAGCACCTCCAGAAGCTTTGGCCAAAAAATAAACCAAAGAACTATGTACTAGGTTTCTATTTCTTCAGATCCTGTACATTTACATGACATGCTACATTAACAATAAATGTAAAATTGTTAATAGTACATGTATGTTTTACATTGTATGCACTAGGTTGCTATTTGTTTAGTTCCTGTGCATCTACATGGAAGGTTATATTAACAATAAGCGTAAAATCTAAGGTGAAACTGCCATGTGTGCTACCCCATGGCACACACACACACACACACAAAATACATAATTTCCTTGTGAAGGAAGAAGAGTGAGTATGGATATAAAGTACTCAGGAGAAGTTTTCATGTTCAAGAGAGAGAGTGGAGTGAGCATTGAGGAACATAGAATGAATCTATGTTACACAGAAAGGTTCAGTGTCATCCTGGGAAGGGTGGGTGTTCAGGTGGTAACAGATCAAGGAGGCTAGAGGTCCATGGACTCTACCACCACTCTAGCAGTCTCTCCCACCCCGAGCTGCCTGCTCAGGGGCCTGGGTGTTTATCAGCATAAAAGTGTTCCTAAAACCCGACTTAGGCCCCCTCAGGCCCGACAGAATGCAAGAGGGAACTTCTCCCAGGTAGAGGTGGGCACACCATTCAAACTACAAACCTCAGTCTTGTTTTACCTTTTCCTAACCCCAGAGAGTTAGGAAACTTGCAGAGGAGAAAGAGATGGGGCGAACCTGCAAAGCCGTGACAGCCCCGTGTCCTGTGTTTACAGGAAACAAGAGTTTTCGTGATTGGACAGGATTTCTCAGTGCCAGTGCTTCTCAACTTTAGGACCACCGAGAAGCCATAGTTCAGGGCCGTCCTGAGATGCTCAGAGCACCCCTGTTTTTAACCACTAGAGGAAGCAACATACCCCTCAGCGACCAGCAAAACTGCAGACATTGCTGGATGTCCCTGCGACACTGAGTCTTGGTCCTGTAGTGCTGTGACTGCCAGGAGAGATGGGGACTGGGGTTAGAAGAGGAGCCACGCAAGGCAGGACTGAGAAAGGTTTCAACACAGTCTCCCCTGAAACCCTGAGATAAAAGTATTCTTGTTACATGAAGACACCCCATTGAGTGCCTCTGAGTTTTAGGGACAAATGGCCCCTAAACAACTGCTCTAACAGTGGGGAAGGCCCGAGGAAGCAAGCATTGGGCTTTGATGCCTGTTCTCAGCCTTGGCTGCATGTGGTCATCATCTGGAGAGACGCTGAAAGTCCCCAGGTCATACCTAGGTCAGTCGCCCCCAGACTCTGGAGGTAGCGTGCAGGTCAGTTGCTTTCCTGCTCTCCAGGTGACTCCAGTGTGTACAGCAGAGATGAGAGCCTCCAGGGCGGCAGCTGGTGAGGTTTAGGGGCCATGGGGGTAACAGAGATCGACTGGGCAGGCCCTCCAGCCTTTTGAGCTGCCTCCCTGGCCCCTAAATACCACTTTTGAGAAATACAGCTATTTTTCCAATAACAAACACCATTTCATTAAACAACAAAATGTAACCCAAGCATTATAGGTAATCCCAAAAGGAGAGCCAGGAGCCAGATAGTCAACAGATAGGACGTTTGTCTTGCACACAGAGTTAGATCCCTGGCATTCCATATGGTCCCCCAACTCCCACCAGGAATGATTCCTGCGTGCAGAGCCAGGAGTAATCCCTGACGAGACAGCCACCTGGCAAGGCCTTTATCCTCATGCACATCTGCGTCGTTCTCTTCTCTGCCCACGGCTGGCGGCTGTTAGTTCCTGAGTAAAAAGCATGCTGCTCTGAGCCTCAGTTTCCCAGCTTCTCGTGGGGGAATAGATCTGACTTGCCAAGAAATTCTCAAGTTCAAGTAGGTAACTGTCTTACTGGCTCATGCCAATAGTTGGCAAATTCTTATAGTGCTGAGGAAAGCTCCTGGGACCTGTTTCTTTCTCTGGCCAGTTAGCCCGAGTTACAGTGCAAGTGCTGATTCCTAGTGTGTGCTTGGTGTGTGTTAATAGTTATCATCTGTACTCAGTTACAAGGGCAGGAGCCACACTAGACCAGGACAGGTTAACCTGAAACTAGATACTATTGTCTCTAGTCAGCGTCAGCAAACCCTACTGGGAAGCTTCCTTTGAATAGACCTATTGGGAAAGAAAAAAAGAGAAGGAAAGGGGAAAAGAAAGAAGGAACGGGGTCAGAGAGATAGTACAGTGAGTAGGGCATTTGCCTTGCATGCAGCTGACCTTTCATGCAGTGTTCCATGCGTGACATCCTTTATGGTCTCCCAATTTCCTCCAGGAGTAAGCCCTGAACACTGTCAGATGAGTCAACAAATAAAAGGAATGGACAGCCTTTGGACAGCTTTGATCATGCTTCATGCAATGTCCTGAGGAAAATTGTATACTATTCTGGACCTATATTCATGTCTGCTCTTGGCAGGAGTAGAAAAGACCCGACTGGCTGGGACAAGGACTTTTTGCTTGGAATAAAGGTTGTGCTTTCTCTCAAAGAACTCAGTATGTGGTGAGGGGAAGTGGAGCCATAGCACCATGGGTAAGGCATTTGCTTTGCATGGGGCCAAGCTGGGTTCAGTCCCTGGTATCCCATATGGTCCCCTGAACATCGCCAGGAGTAATTTCTGAGTGCAAAGTCAGGAATAACCCTGGAATATCACCAGGTGTGATCCAAAAAGGCAAAAAAAAAAAAAAAAACCTCAGTAAGGGGTAAGAGTAATACAGTACAACAGGTAGGGCACTTGCTTTGCACTCAACCAACCTGGGTTCCATTCCTGGCATCCCATATAGACCCCTGAGCACTGCCAGGTATGATCCCTGAGTGCAGAACCAGGAGAAAAAAATTCTGAGCAACATTGGGTGTAGCCAAAACAAAACAACAAAAACCTTAGTGATGTGAATTTTCTCTCTGCTATAAAGCTCTTCATACACCTGGTACATCTTACTACACATGCTAAGGCAGCAGCTCCAGCCCTTGAGTGTACTCAAGGGTCTGTGAGTCCTAGTGGTGGTTGGTGATGCCACACTGAAAGGGTTTGTGAATTGCTTCTGGCAGTGCTCAGGGGGACCATGTGGTGCTGGACATGGAACTAGAGATGGTGCCTGCAATGCGAGCACCTTAACCCCTGTGCTGTCTGTTTGGCCCAGAGGAGGAAAATTTTTGTTTGTTTGTTTTAAGGAAATTGCAATCTAATTCAGAAAGAGGGAACTGAGTAAACTGAGTTACATAGATCACTTTCAGGAGCAGGCCCTGCCTTATTTCCAGTGAAGCTGCTGGCCCCTCTGGCTCTGGAGATCTACTGCTCTGCCACCGCTCCTTTCCTACAGGGATCCTGGGGAGAAAAGAAAGGTCAGGTGTGGAGCCCGGGAAAGTCCCTGCAAGCCATCATTCTGGAAAACTGCACAGGAAAACTTCCCAGACATCAGAGGTTTCTTCATCCTCAGGTTATGGTCCTGGCAAATAGGGATGTTTGCTGTTTGCTTGTGACCTGGGCCGGAGTCCAGCTGTGCTGTCAGGTTCAGCCTGGCTGAAATGGGAACCTGAGGTCATGGGGCATAATGGAGCACCTGGAGGGGGACACCTAGGCTGCTGGAAATGTGGGAGTTGGGAGGACAGAGACTCCAGCTTTAATGCTTGAAGTCTATTTTTGTAGGATGATCCCTGCTGTGTATTTGGCAGGGGTCAGAAATGAAATCCAAGGGCCAGAGAGATAGTCTGGTAAGTACTGTGTTTGCCTTGCACATGGCCAACTCAGGTTCAACTCCCAGCATTCTAAATGTTCCCTCAGCACTGCCAGGAATAATTCCTGGGTGCAGAGTAAAAAGGTAACTCCTGAGCTCTGGTGGGTGGGCCCCAAAACAAACAAAATGGAATCGAAGAGGAAGTGGGACCAAGATGGCAGGAGAGGGAGCTGAGGGAGAGAACTCTCTGGGTAGCTATGAGCAATGAATCAGAATTAGAGACAGAACTTTGTGTACCCCCTTGTCCATAAAATTCAGAAAGATCAACCACCACATCTGGTGAAAATAGGAGGGCGTCAGTCACAGGAACTATTATTGAGGAACCCAATAGTACAGTGAGTTGGGCATTTGCCTTGCACAAAGCTGATCTTGTTCGAACCCTGTACCCATGTGATCCCTAAGCACCCCCATCAAAGAGAAGGATCCCTGAGCACAAAGGCAGGAATAAACCCTGAATACAACTAGGTGTGTCTCTCTCACCCTACCCCCTCCAAAGAAAGGAATTGTAGTTGGCTCTATTATGCTCAAGCAGTAATGGTTTATATTCTAATGTTAAGATGGATTAGGTGGTTGCATCACATGATGTGGGATTTTAGGTGGCCCTTAAGTGGATGACTGATAGGTGTGGCTTATATAACTGAATTGCTTGTGTAGTGTGACTGCCCATAATGCTGATAGAAAAGTTGGTTAGAGGGGAGGGGGCAAAACTGCAATACTAATCATATCATGGGCTGGAGCTATTGCACAGCGGGTAGGGCGTTTGCCTTGCATGAGGCCGACCCAGATTTG